TTTTGGTCACTTCTTCCTCTCGCCTCACTAAGGATGGCAGAAGCGATTTGTAACAGCACCCAAAAAAAAAGATGGATGCAAAAATCTTAATAATATTAAGACAAAGAAAAGAATACGCGTTTTCCGCGAGTCTTTATAGTGGCAATAAATCCACGGAGGGGACAAATTGCCCACTCATTCAACATAAACAAACCGAGCCCAACATAAAGGAATATTTCAGTGCTGGGCTCAACCCCAACTCTACCCTATTTTTACGTAAATAATTTTAGTCGGCTATAGCATCAATACTTTATTTTTAGTATAACACCTTTGTCTCTGCAATAACATCACCCAACATTAAGTAAGCTATTTATAATATTAATCGAAGTGCACACGATAGGGTCCAGCCGAAGTTATACAGCGGGGCAGTGCGGCGCGCCGCCCCGGCGCCGCCCGCCCGGTGCCACCCGCCCGCCGCGCGCCACACGCCGCACTCCGCCGCGTGCCTTCGCTCGCTACTTCACGCGTCCATCACAAACTCGTGTTGTTTTTGGCGCTCTGCTATTAACTGGACATCGTGACACCACTAACAGGCCTGTTGTAAGTGGACCGTGTATTACGCAGTTGAAGCACATTGGAGAAGTATCAGCTCGACGTTATGTTATATTTTGAGTTTTAAAGGTGACTACGAGAGTGAGTATCGTGAGTAGAGCCAGCCCGGTGGTAGGCTGGGGTACAAAGCAGCGTGGAAGCGCGGCTAAGGTTATCGCGCATGCGCCGGGCGCGCGCCGGGACCTCGCAGCCGTCGCGGGTGCCACGCAGGCTGCGGCTGCCGCCCCACCTGCTCCTGCACGTCGGGCTCGTGCTCACCGGCCTGGGGTAGGTCGCGATCATGCTTCAATGTATATTATGCTTCTAATTGTATCAATAAAACTCGCTCCAGCAGCTTCAATATTCACTGGTTCCACAAGCACAAGCGTCGCATCATATTTTTACCTCCATGCCATGTACACAACATGTTATGTAACCCAAACAATGTTATGTTCATTCTTACATCACACAGCAAACAATGGCACTGTGCACTGTGCACTGAATCTAAGCAGGAATGTAACACTGATGTCTAAATTAACCTCAATGCTTTAATATTATCAAAATATAGATCAGTGTTTAGAGCGAGATATTTAGCTATGCTATGGTCCGTCCAATAATATGCGAGTACAAACAACTTGCTTTGAATTATATTCTATTTTTTATTTCAATCCCTGTTTGTCGATATCGGAATAAAAAATAAATAAACATTCCATAAAAACACACTTTAAAACGTGCACTAAGCGACCGGTTACAATGTAAACAATAGGTAGGATTATTCCCTTAACGTCTGGTGTGGTTAGTGGCGTCCCGTTTCTACGTGCAGCGTGCAGTTATGCTCCCGATAATCTCAATTACCTACATACACATATGTAAGGCAAGACGCGACACCGACGCGATCATCGCGTCATGAGCTTCCGCTACTGCTAATGCCGATCAGAGGGTCTAGGATTGCTTGGATCAGACATAGTGTCTTCATGTATGATATACATATGTGTATCGCAGTCAACTGGTTTGACGACCTACTAAATTAACAGCCTTGTCTTTTATACTGAACTTTTGCTAGCTGTTTTGTTTACTTCTGGTGGCGATTCGATTTCTGTGCGATCTACAATTTTAACGTAACCTATACTACCACTATGATAAGAACACGGCTTGAACTCACAGCCTGAATGAGTAAATTAGCCATTCTATGAAACTAGTCATTTAGGCCGTTGAATTGATGGCTAATTTTAGCTATTTGACTGCGACATTTGTATGTTGCTGCCAGCTTACTTAACCTATGTAATTCGAAGCACAATAGAAGAACAATAGGTTTGCGATCGATCGGCGTTCGCTTAGGGTTTGATAAATTAATCAGCCCTTTGACTAATAGGCAGTAAGCCGTTTGATCGGGTGGCTGCATTTCTCATTCAGGCTGGAAGTTGACGGCTGTACTTAAGTGGGATTATGGATTCTTCTAAGACATCTAATCGCCATCAGTAATAAATAACTACTTGAATTGTGGTGTGTACGTGGTCGCCGCATACAGAGTGTCTTTGGAAGTATGGATTACATTACATGCACAATAGGCGCATTTAAGAAGTCATTTTTTTTACTTTTTATTTAAAAATAATGGTCCAATTCTTGATGGTTCTAAAGATATGACCAGTTTTTATGAATACTCAACCATTACAATAACATTATGCTTAAAGAATCGATCACAAACGAAATAAGTTCCTAATAAGTATTGACGGAGGTATCTAGAAAATTCTTATTTTTATTTGAGTTTTTTTTAAGTTTTCATAAAAACATCTTTTGGACAGAAAAGTCCATAGATCTGTTTAGTGAAAATTTGTTTAATTTTCAATTGGTTTTCGTGAAAAAAGTTACACTAGGATAAGTTCACCACGCATCAGAAAAACTTTGCAAGGGATGCCTATTCTCAATAGTTTACGTAATAGAGAATTTAAATTATGAGGACGTCGTTATTTAACGACATGCGAATCATCTAACTTTTACGTCTGAATAAGCTACTACCTGCCTGAATAATTTATTTCAGTTTTCAGTCATTAGTCGATAGTAATTTATACACTAGGTACTGTTCCATAGTGCACTTGTGACGTACGCTATCATTCCGTAGGTAATGTTGTTAACATGGAAAATTAATTGAGCGTATTCTAACAATTACGGATCTGCTTGCGATATTCTAAAAGTTGAGAGATGTTTATTCCCAGATTTTCCACCAGCAACACGTACATCAAAATGATGTTACTATACAGTAGTAACTACAAAGTATTAAAATCACTATTTGCCATTCGTAACTAAGTATTATGTTGCTGGGCAACACAAGGACCGTTGAGGTCGGAGCAGCAAACAGGCGCCGGTTGTGACAGCGATCCAATTGCCTGTAAATGATGGTCTTATAGTTGAAGCCCCTGAGCCCGGTAATTGAGGGCGTGGGCGCGCGCACGCCGGTTGCGGTTCAGTCAGCGCCGCCGTCGCCGGGACCGTGCGCGCGCGCCGCTCTCCTGCTCCCGCGTCCCTGATACCAGTTCCGTGTGTTACTGGCGACCAGTGTGGCCTGTTGATATTTCCTACAACGATCATTCTGTATGTAATCACTAGATAGTCGTATTTGCTGTGTGAATATTATAAATTTATTATTAACATTTTGCGTTTGGAAACAAAATTGTTTTACAAACGTATTGTGGGTATTACATAAATGAAAATGGCCGTCGATGTTTACGTTCTTCACTATTTTACGAATATAGCGAGCTTTGAATATTAAAGTTTTTAAAGATTGAGACGCTTTTTATGAGTCTATTATTGGATCAGAAAATAAAACTATTGTAAAAAAGCAAAGCGAACTGGCTTCGGAAAACATGGCGTGACACACAATAAAAACTAAACATGTCACATCGTAAAAACTATTTGTTCTTGCTTTATGAAACATACAAGAAAGGGACGGCCAATATTACACTACTATTACATTTCATATTAACGAGCACCCAAAATAAAGAAATATAATAAGATTAAATAATAATACAATCACGCTATTATTGATAAATTTAAAAAAATATAATAAAACGCTCTTTAATGATATTTCCTGATGAAAAGTTGATATAGATATCTGTCTAATTAGCGCTCAACTCGACTCGATCGATCTTAACTAGAATGACCCAAGGCTCTATCCGCCACTTTTCAATTTCATTAACAATCTTGTTATCATTATTCTGTTATCATTAATCTTGTTATCATTATTCTGATCAGAGTTAATATTGCGTAGGATATGAAGTACATATGTTGTGTGGATGGAAGTGGTTGGATGTGAGGAGCTGACGGGCTTAGTCGTAGTAGTTAGTGACGGCGTTGGTTTTTGTACTAGACACATTTATAAAAAACGTGAATTACACATACATACATCACACTTAGACCTAAAATCACTGCAGCAATTAATCAATTACTGTGCGTACGCAGCGCAGAGACTTACAGCGCGAAAATATCAGCCGGTTCGCTACATAGCGTGACCAAGTCCTTAATATCATAAATATTTTGAGAAACATATTAATTGAAACCTTTACCTGAGGACAGTTTTAAAGCATAGAAATAATAAAATATTGAAAATAGACATATATAAAATAAAAATAAGGCCCAGCCAAATGCGAACACATGGTCTTAGCTATCGATGTTTAGGATACCAGATACAGAAATCTCCTCACTAAGCGTGTCGTTTCAAGATGAAGCGAAGAGTTCTATCAGGCCCGTCCATTTAATGTTAGAATCAAACCAGAGTTTTTTATCGAAGCGTTTAAGGATTAAGTCTTAAGTCCACATTCCACATTTCAACCTCGTGAGCTAAGTCATTATACAGTTTTTGATTTGCTTATTTATCGTGTAGTTGTTGAGCTTTTATTAATAATAAATAGATTTACTATACATGTCTTAACCAATCACGGGTCCTGGTCATTCGAAAGACGTAAGAGGAGCCGAAGCCGACTGCGCAGAGACCCTTTAGACACTTAAATCTAAATGAAATGGGGCACAAACCGGCGACTTTTATTATGATATAGATTTATTATTATTTTGTAATCGGCATGCTGGTGCGATTGGTTTTGGATACCTTTGGGTGTATTCCATGAGAAGGCTATGATAAAAACATATTCCAAAATAAACACGTAAAGTAACTGGTCAAGAACAGTGTTACAGAACTGAGTTATCGTAGTATATGTGGCGACTATATGGTGCTTTGAATTAAATATAATTTTATGTGTACATAAGAAAAACATTTTTACTTAAAAACTTATCTGGCTTTTGCGAATACATGCCAATACAACAAAATCTTCTTGTTTATATTTTGATTTGTTATTTGATTTGGCTAAATCAAAATTGCTTCGACGATATTTTATTGTATTTACGTGTACCTAATTTTGTCTATTCTAGCCGTCGTCAAAATGAGCAAGTCACAAGACAGCCACAACTCCGAAACGGTGCACCTCCAGCCCGTGGGCGAGGCCGCTCAGCCAGGGTCCAAGTGAGTATGACCGAAGGCGGCTGCTAACTGCTAAATGAGTAGCACATATGATTGATGACTTGATGACACAACCGTCATTGTTGACAGGGAGTGCGAATCCGACTACGACCCGCACGAGCATCGTCAGCTGCCGAAACCAACGAAGTAAGTACTTACTTAACTAGTATAAGTAGTTATAAATGCCTTACAAAGGTTCTGCGTTTAAATATTTTTCCATGTCATTAATATTGTACGAGTGTATAAGGTTCAGAGTGGCAGAGAACGTCATGTGGCATTATGTCCGCCTTATGTACCTTTGTCTATCATGTGTGCATTTAAGTATAAATAAATAAATAATATCATGCGCGCAACTGACGACCACAAGCTCATGATACATGATATAGGAAGAGATACTTTACATATGTGGCGAGACAGTACATGCACTGTCCACCATGCGATTGTCTATCAAGGAACAAACAGGAGGATAGCAATCAATTGCGAACCGAATGATAATCATTCAAAACTGTTTCATATTATTAAAACCATAAGGTTTAAGATTAAAAGACGCGACGTTACAAGTAGGTACCAATGAAGCCACTTCAGGCAAACATACCCAAACAATGTGATTCTTTGTAGCCTCCAACAATGCCACCATCTGATCGGTTCTATAGTATTATTCTTACCGTTTGTTCCGTATAAACATTTAACAGTGTTGGTTGAACTATAACCAACAAGACTTTTGTCACCAAAGGATCTCTGATCTTTGTTTATGAATTAAAAGTAAATAAGGTGATTAGGTTTAACTTATACCTAACCTTATGTCTTAAGTAGAAAGACTAAAATTTCAACAAAGCAGACACAAATTCGATTGAGGATTTCCTTAGCCTTTTCAAGAATCAGACACATGTTACAGATACAATCCAAGCCCCATTTACTTTACGTCTAACTCCAATAAGAAAATTAATGCTTTTATAGTGACATAACTACACCATTGACGACAAGCGGCGTATCGTTACAGGCCTGTGTCAATGCGTGCCCCAGATATTTATAGAATACAATGGTCTTGTACAAGATATAGGTGGGTGGTGGTGGTAGGTATATATAAGCGGTGAACATAAAATGATTAAAAATATAATAATAACTAATTAAAACAATAACAGGTGTTAAACAATTTATTAATTAACAACAAAGTACGTAACCTCAATTCAGACGCTATTTTAAATGTCTACAAAGTAAGAAAGTTAGTAAGCTTTTTAAATTGCTACCCAAAATACATTATTTTTATTGAGTTTTAGCGCAAACTACCTCTTGAATATCTAGGTATCAGTTGTTTACTTCATGGTAGCCCTCTATTTTTCAGTTATGCATTTAAAAAAACTGTTTGAAGTAAACTATAATGCTTGTTGCGCTTTTTCCAGCAACTGGGAGACCCTGGTGCACCTTCTCAAATGCAGTTTGGGCACCGGCATCTTAGCGATGCCTCAAGCATTCGCTCGCGCCGGCTTAGTCACCGGCGTGCTGGCGACCATCATCGTCGGCGCCTTAGTGACACACTGCCTCCACGTGCTGGTTGGTTTTAAATCACTGTTATCATTTCCGACAAATAATATTGCTGACCATCAAGCCACTGAACGAATATTATTAGCTAGAAGCAACGAATGTCTGAAATGAATGGGTCGGCTCGATACGTGTGATATTACGGCCGTGAGTGACGTGAAACAATCGCAGCGTTGTGTTTCGCCGTGTAACTTAACACTTTACAAAACTCCGGCAACGCACTCATACAGACCTCCTTTGGTGTTGCGGGTGTCAATAGGCGGCTTTCAGCACACCATCGTAATCGAACAACTCGTTTGCTGACTTACCTCATAAAAAAAATATTTTTAAGATAATATTTGAGCGGCACATTATTAAAATAATTGTTTAGTCAGATTGGGAATTAAACTGTTTTAAGTACTTATATATTAATATGAGAGTAATGATGATGCGTATTGTGTATATTGCGTTACAGGTACGATCACAGTACGCGGCGTGCCGGCGCCTGAGAGTGCCGCTGCTTACCTACCCCCAGTCTATGTCAGCGGCTCTCGAGGCCGGTCCGCCACCACTGCGCCGCTTCGCCGGTTCGCTCGCTACCACCGTAGACATCTTCCTGGTCGTCTACCAGCTCGGGATATGTTGCGTCTACATCGTGTTCATCGCCGATAATATAAAAAAGGTCAGATTGGTTTTCTAAACCGGTCAAGGAGAGTAGGTATAGGAACTAAACTTTTGAAAACTTTTCACAGCGACTACTTGATAGATTTCGTAAGGTGTGTCACTCTTAAACCTGAAATCTACCACCCATTTTAATACCAAAGTTGATGGATCTATGTTTTTGACAGAAGATCAGCACAATCAAAGTCCAAGTTAATGAAAATGTTTTGGTTCAAGATCGATTGTTTATTCGGGCCGTTAGTAAAGTTTGTCAGGTATCATCGGAGTCGGTTCCCGGGCGCACGGTTGTTTCGGTACGCGGCGGACGTGGGATCGCGGACGGTACAATTGAGTTAAGTGGGGCGGCGTCGTGCCCATTTCCTTACGTCAATATTCATCAAGCAATCCATTGCGCATGAGCCCATGACGCAATGTTTTAATAGTATTTTATTGGCGCAGGAATTCCACCTTTCACCCACGCACGTTTGCGAACCGAGATTGTTTCTCTTACATCGATGGGTTCATTGCCCGCAACCTGGGGGATTTTGGTTAATTTGATGGGTTTAAAGTTCATTGGATATTTTGCTATGACAAGAGTTTGTGACTTTACTAAACGTATAAGGGATATCTTAGTAGTATCTCGTAGTAGTTCCCTAGTAGTATCTATTTATATTGTTTATTAACACAAGATTATTTCTAGATGGTCGACCCTTACTACACGATGGCAGTGGAGTTCCACATGCTAATAATCTTGGGCCCACTGATCGCCTTCAACCTGATCCCAAGTCTCAAGCTGCTGGCTCCATTCTCAGCGTTGGCAAACGTGCTCACATTCGTGGGGCTCGGCATTGTGGTCTACTACCTGCTGACTAACAAGAAGTCTTCCGCACCACTCGACCTCTGGGGCTCACCATCCACCTTCCCGCTCTTCTTTGGGACCATCTTGTTTGCACTGACGGCAGTTGGAGTGGTGAGTTACTTACTATTCTTCATTAGAAACATCAGCGCGTGCTAGTGCCAACAAAATTGTCCAATCGATTTAATAATTTACTTAAATATAGAATTATTGGAATTGGAATCTTGAGGAATTACAAAAGTGCCTGCTGAGCGATTCATTGACTCGTAGTATCCCAGCGACTCAGCCACTGCACTATGCACTCTGCACTCTGCGACATATTGTGATGTGAGTGTTCCAGGTGATCGCCTTGGAGAACAACATGGCGACTCCAAAGGCGTTTGGGGCGCCGTGTGGCGTGCTGAACAGCGGCATGATGGTGATTGTGCTGCTGTACGTGGCTGTGGGCGCTCTTGGCTACGTGTTCTGCGTATCTGAGTGCAGTGACTCCGTCACGTTGGATTTACCACAGGGACCGTCAGTACCAACTTCTATATATCTCGTCACACTAACATTCATTGCTTAGTCTTCACGCAAAACAGTTTAAATGTTGGACTTTATGTCTTCAGCATTCGTTTCTAACAATAGAATTAATTTAAAAAGTCTCGTTTGTTATTAGGTATTTATTTATAAAGTGTCCATACGCAACTCAACCTAAAGGTTGCATTTAAGAAAGGAACTTTAATCTAGTAACGAACAAAAAGCCGACCTTGAGGAAGGATGTCCATATTCACTTTGGGTTACAGATTTTTAAAGGTTGTTGCCCAATATAACAACACTCTCATCCTTTTATAATATAGTGAATTTTAAGGACGGATATCATGTACCTATGCGTGACTAATTTTGAGATTTTTTTATTGTAATGCTTGCACAATATAAGTTACCTATATCTTTATATGTTGATGTTTAAAAAAAGGATAGTATCCGGACATGGCCCTTTTTTTGAAAAATAGGATTTTGTTAAATGTTTTTTTCAACACTATCAAGCGACCTAGCCTATTCTTAAAATGTTAACTTTTTGACAGTGCATAATTCAGTTCTCGTCGAAACAAATCAATCGGTTCCCTAGGTTCTTGAGATTGTATCGTTTCAATGTATAGTTCTTAGAACCACCTTCGCGTTCTAACCTAGTATAAAATGAAATAATAATCCAAACACTTCAAAAATGCCGGTAGGCTATGGGGTACCATCGTTTCACTAAAGGTAGTTTGTCTGGCGTCTCATTAAAGAACTTGCTGCCGGGACCCAAAATAAATTATAAGAAAACGTCCTAATAAATAAAAATCAAATCAATATCTACCAATAAAAATCGCATTGAAATCGGAGTTTTTGGAGACAGATGGTAATATTAGTTTTTATTTTGAACTAACATATAAATATTTCTAAGCCATTGTTTTCATCAAAAGGATACTCTAGTTCTTTCAATTATTAGAAACAAAACGTTTCGCAACCCCTCTAGTTTTTTCTTCCGTAGGTGCGTTTATATAAACATACATACATACAACACCAGACGCGAAACAACATTTTTTGGAAACCGAATTCCTTAGCACATCGTAAGATTGCCCAAAAGCCCAGGCATTGCACCAACTGTACAGTAATCTGGATTCATAGTTATTTCATAACTGCTTAAGCGTGAGATAATGACTTCCTTTGCTTCTTCTAGGATCTATTTAGCGAACGTCTTCAGAATCGATTCAGTAATACCTACATAATATGTTATAATAATTATGAGATCATCAGAATCATACAGACTGACAAAGCAATTAGTTTGTTTCTGTCATTCTTGTCGTCATTACCACGCCGCTTCCTTATCAATATACCAGCTATTGCCGTGAGGTGTTACCCACTGCTCCGCTCCTATTGATCTTAGGGTGATGTTTTATAGCCTATTATAGCACTCAGGCACATTGTATATATCTGTCAGTAAAATAATTTAAAAAATTCGAATCCTAATATTAGTATAGATTAATAATTTGTTTTCGTGTAAAACCGAAAAATCTATGAATAATTCTACCGTGAATTTACATCAAGTACTTAACCTTTCTATATATTCTACTCACCAAAACGAATTTACTAGTCAGCTCACTACGATCAGTCGTTTTGGCTGGGCGTTGTCTGTCAGTCAGTCGGTCAGGCACATTATATGAGCTAAAATCCTTTATCGTATGCACGATCGTATGTGTCACATTCCGTTTAAGCGTAGGTACTTGTATAATCTAAATATTTGAAGAAATATTAATGTTAAATGTGTTTGTGTGTGGCAGGCTGGCGACAAGTGTGATCGCAATGTTCGCGGTGGCCATCTTCATTAGCTACGGGCTACACTGCTACGTTCCGGTAGAAGTGGTGTGGCGCGGCTACCTACTGCCGCGCCTGCAGCAGTCGGGGGCGCCGCCCGCACGCCTCCGCCTGGCCGAGTACGGGCTGCGCGTAGCCCTATGCCTGCTCACATGTACGTACACTATATTTTGATCACGGCTTTATAATTATCATTGATTGATCGTGTACTCTACTGAGAACTGGTGTTGCAGTTGTGCTGGCAGTCGCAGTACCTCGGCTGGGGCTGTTCATCTCGTTATTCGGTGCACTGTGCTTGTCCGCGCTGGGCATCTGCTTCCCGGCGCTGATGGAGATGTGTGTGTCATTCCCGGACAAGTTCGGGCCTGGCCGCGTTCGCCTGCTCAAAGACGTGCTGCTGTTCATAATAGGAGTGGTGGGGCTAGTGGCCGGCACATACACGGCGCTCGTCAGCATTGTGCGCTCCTTCATGCCGGCGGAGGCGCCGACACTCCACGCCTAGTCTACACGCCGTATGCAATGTTCTACGAACATTCTCATACATTGCTCCAGCCATCAGACTTGTAAAAGTTGTAGGCACACGTTATATTTGCTTCACGCCGGTTTACAAGTGGAGTGTTATTGAGTTATATAGGATTACACCGCGACAGTATTTAGGTGATAAGTTAAATTGGCAGATGACCTGCAGCGAGCGCTGGATCTCACGCAGCAGTAAGTAGCCACGTGTGACACCCACGTGCCTCGACGTCCACGTGATTCTCGGTTCAAATTGGTTCAATTGTTTCTTAGATTAATTATAATTTTATATAATTAATTGTTATTTCTTGTAATAATAGTAATCGTACCTGCCTTTTTTGTAAAATAAAGTTTTTATGATAAACGAATTAGTTTTGTTTGCTTTTGAATCCCAAATTTTAGATGGTATTTAGGCGATAATTGTATATCCAACGAATATTATACATGTGAAAGTTTGTGAGAATGTACCTGTGGATGTATGTTAGTTGTTGTTTATTTGGTTGAAATTTGGTACAAACCAAATTTGTATATTACTTTCTTTCTTTCTTTCTTACATAGGCTACTTTTTATCAAAATACCACGCGGGCAAAGCCGCGGCCGGAAGCTAGTAGTTTGTACCTGTATGCAACATGAGTAGTTGGTATTTAAGGGTAACCTACTTTATGTTTTCACTAGGCTCACCATAACTTTTTCCTGCGTCTCCATTCACGCGGAAAGCCTACAAGATTTCAGGATTTCGAAATTAGATTTTTGAATAGTTACCTTTTCAAATGTTTTACACTCTACTTTGACTTCAACGAATATGTTAAGACCAAAATTATCCAAAACCTCCTCCTCGAGTTTTAGCGTGACAAACGAAGAGCAATTCATTTTTATATAAGAAGATATTACCACCCCCCTACTTATATGAAGTAAGGAAAAATATTTACATGACATAACAAAATGTCTCTGTTTTGTGTCTGGGAAATACAATTAAATTAGTACTTTGCCGAAATAAATTCTTAAACCATTGAGAAAATAAACTTATTTTATCTCCTATCAGATAATCTTTTAATTAAATCCTGAATAAAAATTAAATATTCAGCATATAAATTTTTTATTATAAAAAAGTCCATTCTTGTACAAATCCTAAAAATATTATTTGTATTATTACTACCGGGCAGTTTTTTGTAATTTCAGTTTCAGTAAGTTTTTCAGTAAGTTTATACATACCTAGGTAATAGGAATTCGCTGAAAAATACAAAAATTGGTCATAACTTTTAAACCGTTAAAAGTTGAACTGACGTTCCCAGATGCGAAGCTTAATAATTTTGCTTCAGTTTAATGTGACTTTGACAAACTTCTAGAGGTGCCTCGTGGCGTCATCGTAGATTGGATCACATCATGTTTTTATGAGTAAAATAATTCAATAACTTCGCCGACTCATACGTAGAGTTACAGGAGAAGAAACTTTTTGGTTTTTAGTCAAGAGGAGTCAGTCTTTCTCTCTGTTGGAGCCTAGGGCGGGAAAAAATATTTGAAGATTTCCCCTTAAAAAAATTACCAATCAACGATGCGATCCCGACATAATTATATACGTAATTATATATTCGTTTGTTTTATTCCTAGATATAGGTTTTATCTTTAGTCACAATAATGCTACGCACTGTAAGGTACTGAGAGCAGACAGGACAGGACATAATGAAAACTCGTGACATGCGCAAGGTAACATATCGATGATTTATTTATTTAGGTACATAAACACCGATGGAGACAACGTGTCAGCGGTACAACAGGCAAGCGGCGCACTACTCGCGACTCGCATGCACCACAAATCAAACTAAACATAAATACAACAATTAACATTTATTTTCAATCCATAGAACCATATATAAATTAATTCAAACAAAATACTACGCGTACATGTAAAACAATATGGTTTTATGTTGTTGCAATGTAGACAAGTGTAGAACAGACAAATAGCCTCTCATCGAGAGCGCGCTTCATAACAAAATAAATAAATAATAAGACAGCACAGTGGAGGCGCATGGGCCGCGGGGGCGCTGCGGTCCGCGGGCGCGGTGGCGCCCAAACGTTCCGCCTAGCGCCTCCGCGCCCACCACCCTGCTATTTTCTTACATACGACTCCATCTTATCACGATACCTTAATATAATTACATTATTATATTCATGTTATAATTTTTGGGGAAAACAAGTATATTATGATGTATGTATAGGTACCATTATTTTTATACACATTATTGCATAATCCGATGTATATTTTTTAACAAACAAGATGGAATATCAAATGCCGCGCGGCGCGGCCATAAGTATATTAAGTTTTATTACAATAATATCGTTTGATATGAAACAGTGCATTTCAAAGTTCAACCGTCACACCTATGTATAGAAACCCTCACTTGTAAACTTTTATAGAAAAAACATTTTATTGTTCTCGCTTTGTATCCATAAAATACTTTCAAATGCAACAACTTCTTAGTCTTACTTTATAAACATTATTTTCTTTCAATTCAATAAACATTCAATTGACTTATTTATCAACGACAAAAACCTACAAAAATATATTATGACATTAGCACGAGTCAAATAGAGTGCGGGGAAACGTCTGGGTGACGTCATCAGTGCGTAAGTCGCGACGGCGCACGGGGCGGAGCGGCGCGGGCGCCGGCTGCGCGGGGCGGCCCGGTCCGCCGCCTGCGCTCGCGCCTACCGCTTCCTTCATTTTGTCCGTGGGTTCTACCCAATCGATACATTAATGCGAGTCTCTTTACAACTAAAAAAAATTATATAAACTTTCAAAAACATTAACATCTACAGCCATAACAAAAATAGACTAATGACAACTACGCTACGGAATCTACATACTACCTAAACTATCCACTAAGTAAATTTGAAACGAAACTAGTGTTCGCTCACTACTGAATCGACAGAAGGTACTGTAGGGCACCGGGTGCCCGGCAGGAGCTAATCTCATCTGGAGCAGTCCTACGAAGCGAGCTAGAGTGAGACACCGGCTAGCGCGAGCGGCCCGCGAGCCGCCGGGGCGCGGGATGTACATCTTGTGAGACGTGGGACGGACGAAGTCAGAGTTTACAACAGCAACGTTTATAATACAGATTTCGAGTAGGTTCGAGTGCCCGGGGCCGGCTCGGGGCCCTATTAAAACTATCTATATACAGACGCAGCCACTATACTTGCGCATGCGTACGCGAGCCACTTGAGCAAACACGCGACCGCCGCCGTGGCCGGTATCGAAATACATAAATATTCAACAACATTAACTTATTACAATAACACCGCAGTCGCAGTCGGTCGGACTGCGCCGGCGCGCGCTCGGGACGGCTCACAAATACCGTTCACAAATAACAATTTTTCATAAATTTGGTCCGTACGTCGTTGACTAACCCTGTTGAGTGTCGGACCGAGTCCGAGAGAAGGAATTAGAGACGACGATAGATCAAGAGCTCGAACGGAACTTTGGTTAAGATTCTCCTATTAAACTAAGCAGATAAACTTACGGTAACTGCAATAACAATTAAACCTACTAGTCGAACAAGTTACAAAGTAGACCAACGAGATCACCGAATAGCTACACTATCGTTCTTAACATGTCAACATGGACGACAGCGGGTGGACAAAGGGTCGCGGCGATCCTGCAACATTCGATGAGCTCGCGGCCGAAGCAGCCCCACTAGGGAAATGAACGAGCAGCAGGCTGGCACGGCGCGACCGACGCGAGGCGAGTGGGGGCGCGGGGGCGCGGGGGCGCAGGGCCCGACCGGCGGCGCGCCGGGGAGTGCCCGCGACCTGCAACACGCAACACGTTATGTACTCCGTTGCCACTACACTCTTGTACAACTCTGCTAATCCATCGCTTTAACTGCAATGCTTACATGTCGTGTGGCGTGTTTGTGCTATGCGGGTGGTGGGGGGGCGCGGGCCGCCTATACATCCGCGTATTTCGAGAGCTTCTCTCGCAGGATGTGATTTTCCTTCTTAAGTAGCTCCACTTCTTGTCTCAGGCCCATGTTCTGGAAATTAATATCAATGTATTAGCGTGTGTGACTTCCTTTCTATGTAAATAAATCACGTAAACAATATTGAGTACATTAGGTAAGTGTGTCTGATTGAGTGAGTAAGTAAAACAAAAAATTTAACTCAAGCATTGTAGAGAGTTTAAAGATTTGGTGATTGAAAAAAATGATATTGTACTAATTATATTTAGATACACTGATTTTTAATATTTATATCATTACTCCTATCTTTATCAGGTACATGTACATAGGTATAGACAAACGATTTTCCACAGGTGTACCCCACAAATTAATTGCTCGAGTAACTACGGAAATCCCTTCTTGGTACTGCATAAGCAGGAGAACATTTCAATAAACGTAAAAACCAACCTCTTTCTCCAGGTACCCTGCCCGCATTGCGATCTGGTTTTCCTTCATGCGGCGTGCGTCGCGGGACCGCTTCGCCGCCATGTTGTTCTTCCGCCGACGTGCCCAGTACTTGTCATCTTTCAGGTCGTCAGGCACGAACTGGTAACGATATGAACGTAGATTAATGCGACGCCACACTCTCACACTACCCGCCACCCAGCACCCGTGGCTCTCAACTACTGCTCGGTATTTACTACAGCATCGACATGTACTTGGTTCACCTGTTACCGATAAAAATATATCTTAACTACAATCAAAAAGTTTATTTCACTTCACATTCAAACCGTGTTGTTTATAAGCGGGCACGCGCACGCGGCGCCTGCGCAGTGTTGAACGCGGCGCCGGCGCTCGACAGGCTGGGCGCCAATGCACTACCTACAGTGTCTAGTTATTATGATAAGTACCTGTACCTACCCCTGTATTTTACTTTTTATGAGTACGTGGTGTGTCCTATTATGTGTCTTATAACATTATAATATTATGGATTCTGATCTGAAATAAACAATTTGTGTTTTAATTGATTTTGTGGAAACCAAATACATTGGTTGGTACTGGCTAATAATATCCTTTATATAACTTACTAGTGTTAATCTAACTTTGTTAAATAGAAAGTACTAGCTTTCTATTATATAAGTCGGCGAGGCGAGGCCGGATGGCGATTGTATTATACTCGGCTAGCGGCTTGGAATAGGGAAGTTGCAATGGACGTTGGACTTCATAGAACTTCAAAATAATACTCTTTGTAAATCTAACTATCGTTTGATTACGAAGATGCCTATAGTATGAGTAATGCTTGATTACAATTTTAATTGTATATTTTAGAAGCTAACTATTTTGTGAATGTTTTACGGACAACCGTCATACAATTGACACGAGTCACCCGTCATTTTACTCACGATCACGACGCATTTCAGTAAAATAAAATTTATAGTAATACTGTTTGTATAGAATTGCCATACGAATAATTACAAAAAGAACTTTACACAATAAGACTCCATGGATCGAATTTATTTATTAAAAGTCAAATTAAAGAAAATCTATTATAATTATTATCGGAGAAAGTTTCCTATTGTTCTCGCTTTGCACCGTAGCCTGAAGAAAATCTGGGCACAAGAGCCACCCATTGCTGTCCAGAGGACCATGGCCTTACCTACTGGCCATACCTACTTGGGCTGAGGCCCAAGCAGGGTACACCGCTACAGTGACCCAGGCTGCCCATATTGGCAATTTAATTGAAAGGCCACAATATAATGTGGTCAGCTATTAATGTAAATCATCCCTATTGCATTTACATTATTTAGTTTCTTATTTTGATATTGGCTCAATTATCTGCCCCACCAGCGCCGGGGTCATAGTAAAGAAAGGCCCAAAACTAGTTTCATATTCGGCTGTATTCTAGTCTCGATCTAACTATTACTATGGTTAGCATCAGTTATATATGTAGCAAAACTACAGGTCGTGTGCACAGTGTGCGCTTCTCAGGTTACCAATATGAGTACGCTTTGACGTATGCAAGGAGCACTGCCAACCGCCGAAATTTAATTTGCGGGTTGAATACCAAACTACGCAGCAAAGGCTCGTCGCTAGGCTGGGGGCGCCGGACGAGAAGTGCAGGGTCGCAGGGCTGCAGCAAGAGCGCTGTAAGTTTGCTGTTATGTGTTGTGTTACATAAATAAGAGTGTAGAGTAAATAACACCAACATATTCCACTTATAAGTACCTCGTTACTAATGCCAAATCCAAGTTTATACTGATATTTTCTGAAAATCTAATACCTAGCTAACTTTTCCTTCATTTCCATAATACTCACTCCTGCAGACGCAGGAATTTGTACCTTGTTTCCTTTTTTTCGGTTTATTCAGCAATGCGTATCAGTCGAGACAAATTGTAAAGTGACAAATGTGTGCTTGCCGTCATAACAGCTCCACTCAAACCCTGTGTTACTGTATGTTCTCTCTTCAAAAGGCAATATGAATTTCGATGACCAAATAGTTCTCATATTTTATACTACTTGTTATAGTTCTTTCTCCCCGTAAGTCTTTCTAGAACAGACTGTCCCTCTGAATTACTTACCTCGTCTAATTGAAGTTAAAATAATGACGTGTAAATATTAAAGCCTTCGCCTTAGCCTACGTCTAAAAATAACTCCGTATTTCAATCATCACATTATACGAAAAAAAGGTAAACTTAAATATTTTTAATATTTTTTAATTCACTTTGATAGTGCAATTACATTTTAAAACAAATATACAATTTGAAAGTGAAAGATATTTGTATCGGTATACAAGACTGACCTGTAGGCTTACCATGAAGTGTTAAAGCATAAATCTTTCTGGGGAGAAAGAGGGATGGAGCTAAACACCTTTTATAGCTCCATGTTCTCTTTCCCGTTTTCACACGTCATGGTATGCCTTCTGATATAACATGCATATTCTTAAACCATTGAACATCAGAACACCACAACCCAGTCATGCCTACCCTAGAATATTTTGGTCATGCCACAAGAAAAAAGTAGTGTTAGTCTATTAGTTAAAATTCCTATTTGTGACCACATAGATGTCATAAAATACTTATTCAAATAAAATTTCGCGCACAAGACCGAGCAAAAATTACGACGAGTGCCTAGTGCGATTTTGCTATCGGCACGAGTAAATCAACCAATCAGAGTGCTCAATTGCTTCGCATTCGCACTAGACAATCAGTCCCTTATATATCCACGTAGCACTGAGTTAGTAATAAGTTGGTGTTAGCGACAGTGTTGGCGTTAGCAAGCAGTGCAGTGTGTGAGTAGGTTGTGTCTGTTGAGTCAGCTGTCTTTGTTTTACGTGATACCTTTAGTTTTCTTTAAAAAAGATATTGCCTCATACTATATAGTTATAACTCCCGTGTCGTTGGTGCGTTTACAAACATACAAAATTCACATACACATCAGACGTAGGTCTAGGAAAACAACTTGAGGATCACACAAAGAGTTGTTCCGTGCGGGAATCGAACCCGAGATTCGTTTTACAGCCGCCATATCAACTGTGCAGTATGATTGCTATAAAACGCTACACCTGATTATTAGTAGTTCGACGAACAAATTTCTCCAGCTTCTTTAATAACTTATCTAAAGAATACTCTGTCTTATACCTTGGCTTCCTTTTACATACATGAAGCGACTCCTATTGAGCTACTTATTTTCTTAAAGTGATACCAAATTAATTGAATTCTTTATCTGTTCTTAGACAAACCCACATGAAGCACATCTCACCTCTTATCAAATCAAAATAATATTTAGGCATTCTAATTCCTGTCATCATAAAAGAAAACTATAACATTATAGGTACTGTTTCAGATCGATGGAACTTAAAATTTCTAATGACCTATGCCGTAGAGCTGGCCGTATATTTTATGCTATGTTGTTGAGAGTGTAAATCTCTGAAACGAGTTTCAGATAATAAACATTGGGAATGAGCCGAATTCTGGTAAAGACTGAGTTTAGCCAAGGCGTCAAAATTAATTTGGGCAAAAAAAAGTCTTTTTGTATACTTATGGTGTGAGTTGTAAATTTTATTAACATGGGCGACTAAAGCTAATATTTTTATTAGGAATCACCATTTCACAAATTCTCTTTACCATTCTATGAAAACTGTTGTTTTCTTATTTTTAATGGCAAACCCGACGTTCCAACAAATTTTGATAACGTTTCAGTATCTATTTGTATTTATACATACTATACAATTAGTATCCCTATTATCTCATCTCTCTAGTAGACTTTATACTTTATATTTTTACTTTGTACCAAAGAACAACATGCAGAACTATCACAAATATACTATCACTTACACTATCATATAATTATCAGAAATATGTCGGATCTTTTAGGAAACTATTCAATTTATAATTAAGTTTCCAGCACAAAAGTCTTTCTAAGAAAATGATGGCGTATTCAAACTTTTGGGTGTAGCGGACACTTTTTTGGGTTTTAACGGACATTTATTGAAATTTTGGAAATGTCACAATTATTACACTACTTGTCAAGTATCGCTTATTAGCCATCTCATCTTTAATGACAGGAATAATAATTGGCGAACTACATTTATTGTCATTGCCTAACGTAATGACAATATTTTAAATTTAATTCAGGCAATCATGCGATTAAATCTGCACCTGTGTGTACGCGTGCGTGTGTGCATGTGTTCGAGCGTATGTATGCGTGTACGTGTGTGTATGTGTGTGTTTGCGTGTGCGCCACACCCGCAGGCGGACCGCAGCATGCCGCTAGGAATGATCAGCGCACTAACATCATTTACCTGTTTCCGGGACTTCTTGATCATTGGCTGCGGCTTGAGCTCCTCGTCGGAGAAGGCGCGCGTCCGGGGATCAAAGTCACGTCCCGATGATGCCATCGAAAACGCTGAAATTATATAAGTTTAACGTTAGGCGCTGGTGGATGCAGGCAGGTGCGTTTACTGAACCGGCACCAGATTATGACTGTACGACGTGTGAATAGTTACTGTTTGGTGATATCTTCGAATATGAATATTGAAAGATTAATTTATCTGTTTTTAAATATTTATTTCCTGGGTTTTAACTTAAATGAAAATTGTATTTATATTGCAATTTGATCAAAAAGTACATACTGGAGTCGGCGGGTGAGAGCGGCGGGTTGATGGTGTCTGGACTCATACAATCGGAGGGTGAAGGTGAGCGCTCCCGCTTGGTGACCGGCGCCTGCAGGCCGAGCGCCGGCCCGAAGGCCGAGCCGCCGAGGTGAGCGCCACCCAGTCCCTCGCCCGACATGCCATTCTCCGACAGGAACTCGTCTAGGTCCGCGTACTGCAACAGAAACCCGCGTCAGCGCCGCGCTCGGCGCCCTGCGCGCACCGCGCACTGAGCACCGCGCTCCTCCAGCACTCCACTCACATACCAGTATTGCCAAAACAGGGTTAACATTCGCGCTGAGCATATTCGCTAGGCTTAACATCACTTATATCATAAAAAGTATTTTAAAGTTCTATCAACTACAGTAAATACATGGAACACCACGAGGCCGAAGCAAAACGAGGATTAAACCCGGATAAGTCCGGGTGGTGTGAGGTGGGTCATGGAGGGCCGGGGATGGCGGGACAGGGCAGTTAGCTAGCGTCTCTATTACCTAGTGCGCGACACGGCAGCGGTACGGCGCGGTTAGAAAGCCGGTGAGAGACGCACACGACACGCAACACGCAGTAGGTAATAAAGTAGCGAGTACTGACTTCTTGTACCTTGAGATCGGGGTCATAGGGCAGCGTCTTGTCCCATAGCGTTGGCCCGAGGAAAGCGGCCTGCGCCTCCCACAGGTCACTGTCATCTTTCTTGTCTTCGAGCGGGTCCTTACTGTTCACCGACTTGCCTGCAACAATGATGACATGACGTCAGCTCCGGTGCCGGCGCGACCACCGCACGCGTGGCCCAGCCAGAGCACAGCTCACTCGCGCTGACGGGGCGCGCGATTACTTATACAAATCATTCGCTACAGATGCAAGCAATCGCGAGGGCAACATTTACAATACATTATTTATTACATTCAGTTTTTTAATAAGTCGCACATGCTAACGCATTGAAAATGTTATACGAGATATAGACATACAGGTTACATACACAAACATCATGACCTATTCTGGGCGCAGTGGAAAATGAGCTGGTGAATATAATGCCTGCAACCCTACCAGAGGGACGGGAATGGAACACATTACCCAGGGTAGGAGCCAGCCGCCGCTCCGTCATCTCCAACAATAAACAGTTTTAAATTTTCTTGTGGAAATTGTGACACGCATTTCTATCTCGTAGGCCTCCCGTTGCTATAACAACCAAGCGGGACATAATCCTTCGGCGGTAACATTACGCGATGTCTTTATGGTGGTGGCAAGTTGTATCGATACCGATTTGTTATGAGTTTTTCAGAGCTCAACATTCAGAAGCATAAGCTTAGTAAAGAAATTTTATGACACGTTTGTAATGGCAAAACATTTTTCGTGAAATTATTTATTTGTTGTATGTGACTGGGAGATGCGCACGTGAATATGACGAGGATATTAGTAGAAGCTGATCTGTCGTCGAAGGCCGGAGGGTGCTCACGTTGTAGATCACGCGGCGGGGCGTGGGCGGGGGGCGCGCGTGCCCCGCCGCGTGACCACGCGCGGACTGCAGCTGCCTCCTCGGCCAGCTCCCATACCTCCAGCAGCCGCCAGCATTACAACACCGACAATTTGATGACTACTATTGACCACGGAATCACCGTAACTTAATTGCGTCACTGATCACCATTTGACATATTCCACATTAGAAGGATTGATAGTGCTCTACATTATTTTAAATTAATATTTTTATTGTAACCACATTTCAATGCATCCTGATTTTTATCAAATAAACCAGCTGCACGAATACCGCAAGAGGATGCTGTGCGCTGATTGGTGACAGCAGGGTAGCGTGTGTGTATCTATCGTCTAGGCAGACGTGTGTGAGAGAAGCGGCACGCGGCCTCTCAAGGCGAGCCAGCACATTTACATACCTCGCGGCGGCGCAGCGGCCGACCTGACCAATCATCACAACATAATAATACATGCCCGTGGGGAGGTATTATGAGTCAAACCTCTTTAAGATTAATTACAAGTAAATATACTTTCACCAGATTGTAGGCAAAAGTAAAACTCCATATATATTTATTAAAATATTTTTTATAAATATGGCAAACCACACGATTTCTTTCCAAAGTAAACCCCAATAATTGCTGTTCACTACTGTCATCATCATCATCCATAGCAACAGAAATAAATCAACTACTGAACAAAAGGTTTTACGAATTAATCCCCACGTTCGACAGGCAGCTAAGGAATCGATCGATCGCTCAATCTATAACAGTCGTAAACATTCCACAATGAATTTTGTGCGTAGTAATTAAAGACGCCAGTCTTTAATTACTACGCACAAAATTCAACAAAATAATAAGCTTTAAAAAATAGACCAGGAACTGATAGGCCCTACTTGTAGTCTTTGAAATTGGTTGATATGATCCAAAAAATAAAAAATAAACGAAATATTTTCATTTTTGTTGAAATTCGCAGTATTATATTCCGATTTTTTAATAATATAAGGAATTATAAATTTTATTTTAATTAATAAAAGAATGAAAGTAAAAATCCGCATTTCCGTGTCTAGCCAATTCACAGCGCGTGAAATGCTTCTCATGCCTGAGGATGCTGCTTCGAAACCAATAAAAATTGACTTCAAGACAAGTCTCAACCACATTCGGAGCTGTTGGTTGCTCGGAGCTCGATTTTTTAAAACAAAAATATTTTTAAATTAAAATGATAGTTTAATTCATTGATTTTATAAATTTTTCTTATAGATTATTTTTGAAATTGTTTGTTGAGATTGTTTTTTTTGTGTATGACATTTTCGTACAACACTATTTCGTACGACCGGTCCTCGACTGTTGTCAATACAGTGTTACAGTTACTCAGGCTTAAGTAACTGCAAATGAAACGAGAAATTATCTCGCAAATAAAAACAGTTCGTTGTTTAAAATAGGTCACATTAAAGGCAAACATAAGCAGCTTCTTGTTAGCACGTAAGTATCAGAGAGTGAGACAATGGCGGTCGTGGGAGCACACGCGCGCTGCTGGTGTTTCCTTCACAAAAAGCGCCACCGTTCATCGGTGGCAGGAAGCGGGAAGTAACCCAGTTGTAGCGTTACGTGCGCGCGCGCCACGCTTTCCTCGCGCCACGCCTCGCGCACACCACGCACCGTTCTTATACAATCACTGCGCAGTGGCACGCTGCTCGCTGCGCGGTACCTCAGGGGGAGGGGCTCTGGATACAGCGGTTACACTATTATATGTCACCATGTCTGACTGATATGACGTCACCAATCTATTACCGTCACAGAGCATCTTAAAATCAACATGAAATGTAATAAACCATCAATCCGGCATAGAAACACACACCCTAAAGATTACTAACAAAAAATATTTTCAGACAACTGTTACTGCATGATTTAATCTCCTCGTGCATGACGATCATATTTACAATATGTATTGTAAGAAAGTTATATGCTGCATTACACTATCCAAATGGATTCTTCTGGACTTCAGGTATAAGATCACTAATAACATATGTATTCGTATGAATGTACACCACACGCAAACCTCTTCCATTACCTACTGGCCAATTAGCAATTAAATAACTGACCGACTAACAAGGAACAACCGAATCGAAGCATATATTATTTTAACATGTGGATTCCTGGTGAAATGTTAACAGTGATTAAGAGAAAATTTCGAGGTGTCGAGTCGAGGATGGCATTTTTTTTGCCCAAGGAAATTCAAGAATCGATTATTTTGTTAACAACTTGAATATGGAAGACTCAAGATTATATTTTCCAATTATTATCGTATCACGTGGGAAGGGATCTCTTAACGGGCAGGGTATGAAAATAAACTTTTGGAAATAGCTTATGAGGTCTTGCATATTGCCAGTCTCGGAGCCATTCATTCAATTTGGTCTTAACTGTACTAAAATAATTATCGTTAAATCTGTCAGTGAACGATACATCCCGGTGTATTTTTTAATCGCTTCGTCAGTTCATGTCAACTTTGCGTATCGTTGAACTATTTTCGAGATTAATGAAGCCAAAAACTTAAAATATCTAATAAAATTTCATGTATTTAAATACATTGAAAACATAGAGCTAAGTAAAATAAAACCAGTACATTTACTAAAATAAACAGCTTTTCCAAATAATATTAAATAAGCGTCCGGCCTCTTTTTTTCTGGTTTCACTTGTTGCTGTTGATTTTACTATGCCAACCACAGATAAAAGGCAGAAATAAATAAAGGGTAGCTGAAATTAACTGTCAATGTTACAAATTTACAACATTAATGTCGGCGATGATTTGTTATTGTGTTTAAATCGTCAACGAACATTCGTGATTTTTCTTGTAATGAATAAATTTTCTTGTATTGTCGTCATACTTGTGCTACAATGGTAAATTTCATTTTGTTTACATCCAATGAATCTAATATTTAAGTAGCTAAATGGCAAACCTACTTGGAGATATTTCCTACATGTTTCTGTTAAATTCTAGGTGCCTCCAGAAATAATATCCCGACATAAAAGAGAAGCCAACCTCAATGATGAAGACAGAAGTTCATTCAAGCACTTCATCAAAAAGAAACCAGATTTCCAATTAAAGATAATAGACGATAATACAGACACCATACCCCAAGCAATAACAAGCAGCAAGTTACACAGGTAAGATGCCCACTAGTCTAATAAATAGAATGTCTCATTGGCCGTGTGGCCGCCAGAATATGGGTTTACATTTAATTATATTTTTATTTTGCATGAAGAATCACATATACCTATGTGTAATCTACTTGCTGAGAAACAAATATTTTTATAACTTATCTAATATTAATTTATGGCACACGAGAATAATCATGAAACAAAAAAAACTAATGTGAATTTAACTAATAAAGTAATACAACCTAACTGGTTAAATATTATATTTTTAATATGTGCCGTTTGCGTCTATGTCTAAGTATCCTATAGGTCCTAGATATGTAAACTAGTATCCCTTCCCAGCTTTGTCCATATGCTATACCTAATGTAAATATTTGTATATGTAGACAACTACGTCCTATCATCTTATTTATATTTCTTGTTCAGGCTACACCTGTGATGAAAGAGACGTCTGAGAAAGTGAAGAAATCTATGGCGTAATATTTACTCCTAACCGTTTTATGAATCCAAATAAAAGATTTGATATTACTGTAGTTTTGATAGCAAAAAAACTATCAACCAAATATTGTCGCATCATAAATCCTTTGTTGTATAATTATTACAACATCATTTTAAAATCAATATTTTCGAGGCTACCGTTAATCCTATTTTAATTAGTTTCCTTTTCTATATGTCGCTAGCAAAAGTAATAAAAAACTTATTGCGCACTGATGAATATAACACTTGTTGTACTGAGTCTCAGTATCGGAATAGTCACAAAAATCTTTAAAAGCAACTATATTTATGTATACACATCAACGTGAAGAGAATTTTCATTGACCAGTCACGTCACATAAAATTAACTGAACACAAGGAGATTCACGTAAGAAACCTCACATTAGTATTTGTAGAGATTTAATAACTTTTTAAAAATAATTAATAACTACTTTAAACAGAATTGTTTAGTTAAGATATTAAAAGAGATGAGGTCTTTGTTCTGAAGGATATTGTAGGCCAGTAGCATTACTTTAAATCAGGCTCTTGCATTTTCTTATGAGCGTTTCCTGAAATTTCAGATATTCGTTAATCCTAACTTTCTGATTTCCCTTCGTGTTATTCATAAAGAACGATTTTAATAATTTAAACTATTTTGATTGCGGCAGGTAATTAGAGGATCAGATTTAGCAACTTTTGACCCAATTATGGTAAAATAAAATAAAATTATACATATTTTGCAAATAATAACATCAAATAATTAACAATCAAAGTACTTTGTCTTTTGCTTGGCTCCCGAGAAAGTGAGCCCCAATACGCGATAAAAATCAATATTTTTGTTCATTGTTAATTTTATTATATGACTAAAAGAAATAAAATCTACTAGTGAGGTCAAGATTTACAGAATTCGGCGCGTGTATCCCATCAGAGAAAGTGTCCAAACCGGCCGAGCTGAGCGCAGTGACGCTTGCACTCTCACTTTCTTCCGATACGGTCGGTAGAAAGTGACGCGGCACCGAATCACCTACTCAACAGTCAACATGCTAATGTCAAGTACAATATGACGTCTTCAAATCCAGTGCACGTGTAATAGCAACGAATAAATGTTATCTGCAAGAAGTTTTGAGCAAGCAAGGGCCCCGGGTGGTCCTGGCGGCAATATTGGGTGGAAAGTGGTGCAACGCCAGTGCTGCACCGACTAGCCAGCGCTGAGCAGGATGTGTTGGTATGACGTCAGCCTCGGAGTTGACGGTGCGTCGCGTTGGAATGCTGCGCCGACATCGGTGAAAAGCTGAGGTTGCGCAATAAGCTCATTTCCTACTCGGAAAATAGGTGAGGAGTGCCGTGAACGACGTGCGCAGGGTGGGGGGCGGGGGCGCCCTGGGAGGGGTAGCCGTCGAGCGGGAAGTGGCTGCTGCTCTTGCGCAATGGAGAAAGTCAACGTTTTCCGGCGACTCGCGATCATTTTCGTAAACGTGTGAATTGAGCGAAAGTGAATGAGAAAGTTGTAACTCAAAATTTAAAAGAACTCACTTTGCGTTATCATTCAAATGTGCAGATTGGGATTATTATTTTCTTCTTAGATGGTGTCAAGATGGAGTAACTAGCTTCAGCTATATACTTAATTAACGTTGCGAGAACTATAGTCATGGCAGTCGTGACCTAATTTGTTAACTCACTCGATTCCAAGACTGTCTGACTGTCGCGGCTCTCATAGGTATTCCATCGCAGGCTTGGTTTAGTCGGGCCATACACTTACATCATCATAGTTGCCCTTAGGGAACTGAACTGAAAGTGGTATACTACAGTTAACACGGAAGTGACTAGGACTATCTGCAGCTGCAGTCAGACGATGCGGCTGTTCAAACCATGGGAGAAAACAGAATCTGTATCTGTTATCAGTTTTCTATATTTACCGTTGCAAATAAGCAAAACATAATTAATAAATTTTATTACGTTAGTGTACTGTTCTGTAGTTTTATCTATTTGTATACAGACCTCGACCTCACGTGCTTACTGAAATACAGATACAAGTCAAGCGAGTTATCGAGCGCCTAGGTCGAGGGTGACTGGCCACAACAAATCAACTTAAAATTCTAGCTTTCTCTACATCATGTGAATATAATCACTGTAGAAAGTAGCCAAAACATTCAGTTACTATACGACAAAGGGAGAACATGAAGGCAATCGATCAGTGGAACGTGTCGGTGCGCGTGCGCATGTCTGTGAGCGACGACGGAAAAGTAAAAGTCGGAAGGTGTTGGCTGAGGGCGAGCGAGGGGCAGACAGCGGCGGCCGGGGAGGGGGCTGATGCGGAAACACGCCGGAAGATACTTTTACTCTCGCCGGGAACACCTCTTCCCCTCACCCCTCTCCGCACCGTGCTCCAACGACACACTCACACTTGCAGTTATGCAACAGGTCACCATTTAGCAACTTTAACGCGCATAACTTAGTGGTCAAGTTAAAATGCGGATACAATTAATTACCTACAATCGTATCCCTCCTATTTGTTCGTCTCTAAGTTGGCCTACTTACCTTTTTTCTCTAGTAAAGTTTCATATTGACATTTCATTTATACGAAAGAATAATTTACTTAATAGTTAAGTTATAAGTTAAGTAAGGTTTATAGTTTGAACTCAATAAATAAAATAAACATTACAACAATCTTACCATATACTACCATAAACAATACAAAATCACGTGAGAGTGTAAACAGTGAAAGTTTTGATTCTTATTTATTCTAATGTTATAAGGTCGAAAGATTTGATTGTTTGTTTGTATTTAGCTTCTAGGGTAATCTGTTTCCTTTAAGATATGTTATTTTTTATCACTGGAAAGATTTCTTTCCAAGAATATATAGGTCATGGTATTCGTTGTTAATAGATAGCGAATATTACTATTCGGATATAAATAATATTTGGAACCTTTACACATGGTGGAGGAAGCCTTAATGATATAACAGTAAGTATAATAGAGCTACTCACTTCACATGAAACAAGAAATAAACAAGTTTTATTGAAATATACTTCTTGCTTCGTAACTTAGAACATCATTAAGTTTAATAAAAAGTAAAAGTGGTTGGTGCCTACGCGCACGCGGAAGAGAGCACGTGTCAGGCGCGGGGCGGGCGGTGCGCGGGGCGGGCGGCGCGGGGCGCGGGGCGTTCGGCCCGAGGAGAAAGTCGCGAAAAGGTCGCCACTTTTTCCCAAATATTCGGAGTGAAAGTATGCGCGGCCACGCTCGAATTGATAAAAAAGATACGCGATGAGATGGCAGGCTCGTTCAGCAGACCTCAAGCACCACACTCTAGTGGTAGGCCCTCAATACGGCCTATTTAAGGCTTCATGCCTAGCTTTTGTGGCCTCTCACCATTGTAACAATGTTATCTAAAATAATAAGTCAATAACTAGACCTGTTTTCTAATTAAGTTTGCTTCTAATCAGGTGTGATTGAGAAGGACTTTGTATGGCAAGGAGTCCGCCAGCCACCACCAGGCGTTTCAATCTATCATATGGCTAATACGGTCACAGGACCAAGTTATTAGGTTAGGTAAGGCCCTGTGTCGTTGTCCACTGTGGACCCTAAACAACACCAACAACCATAGGCATCTCCAGAAAATACAAATTTGTAATCGGTCAAACTACTGGTGGAAAACTTGCAATACTTGGTGACTGCTGCATAAGACCCATAAATGAATTATCGCCTGGCCGCTATATCAGATGTACTTAAGCCGTGACTTAACATTAGCTATAAGAACTTCGGTTTGAGTACTGTTTTTTATCTCATGACCTACATTTTGAGGTGATGCTGAAACATCACCTGTGTGCCTCCAGCTCTTAAAGCGGCTATCTCTACCCACTGTCTGTAGCTACCAATTGCCGATTAACCCGTATTCCATTGCAATCCGAGTTAAACGCAAATACCGGTAACTACTTTGGGACCTATGGTTACTCGTTCTATGTTTCGACAAAAGTTTTAATCGGATCAGGACTTGACTACCGAACTCGTGAGACTCATTTCGGGACATCAATGGCGGAAACGAACTAACATGTCCTGTCGTGTCGTGATGCGCTAACATGGTTAGAAACATACTTGTATGCTGTGTCGTGTCTCATGCTGTCAAAAGTATGAAACCGATATGATGCTATCGCATCACGACACGCTACGGCAGTGTTTGTATATTTTCGCCTTTATAGCAACTAACTAAGCATTTTCAGAACGATTTGATTCATTGTACTGTGATAACTGTTTGTGCTGTTGCGGAGTTTGTTTGTTGGAATGGACTCATCTCAGAAGCTTTAAACTTGTTCGAATTCAAAAGACGTTTATTAAATGTGTTGAATGGTCCTTTATTAAAGAAGACTGCAGCGCATAAAACATAGCGTTACGCCTAATAATGGGTGAGTAGCAGGTGAAACTGCAGGAGTAGCGTATGTTAGAATAGTGACCAGTCATTTGGCAGGTTGTTCTATATGTGAATGTTGAACAACTTTCACCTAATAACAATTCCTTAAGCCCGTAGAGAATAAAGTTCAATTTGATCCTTCTCAAAAACAAATACAATGTAAGTTACTGAATTAAACATATATCTGTGTATTGCACGTTACAGCCGCAGCCTCATACTTTGTAAACGAGTAGAGCAAGCAGTGGAATCAAACATAATACATGTTTACAACCAATACCAAGTACTTTATAGGTTTAAGTAAACTGTATATACGTTTTAGTAATCATTGTTTACTTAAAGTCCACGTAGGTACAAGCTCATTGAGCTATGAGAGTTAATAATGAAGCGATATCATATCTCATTGAAAGGAGGAAGGTTCTCAAAAATATACAAAATGGAAAAAACGGAAATATGGTCGAAGGAATCTAATTCTCAATTTTCTAGCTAATTTCCTCATGGCTATATAGTCCAGTTTACAACAGAAGAGTTAATGCCGGAATCGGAGAAGCGAGTGGTACATAAAAGTAGCTTGCCCGCGGTACTAGCTACGCAGGAGTAAGTATGCATCTCGCGATTACGAGGCTAAAATGACACAAACACAGTTGCTAGTTTGCGTATGTACAAAAACATATATCATAAAAATACAGATTACCAAAAGTTATATGTCACAGCCAAGTACTGTGAGCTGATCAATTGGTGCGAGTGTACTGTGCTGCTTGTGTACACATACAGTGAATACGAGGCGAGGCTCGACGCCTGTTTAGTTTTACAAAGATATCGTTGTAATGTTATTAGCGGACGTTCAGGTGATTGCGAGGCCCGAGAACTGCTACGGCTTCCTACTTTGAACTAATCGGGTTTAAGGTCGAAATGCCTTCCGCCATCGGAAGTCAAGCCACACCGTAGAGCACACCCATAACTATCAAATCTTAGTATAAGAAACAGGCAATGTACTATAATCGTAATTGATATCGATTGACACGGAACCGAAGCTCTCCCGCATGTCACACAAGAACTCGTGTTTTCAAACAGAGTTAGCGACACGTGCACCAGGCGCATCTCCTGCTAGAGAGTAGACCCTGTGAGCAAACGGTGCGGAGCAAGATGACGTATCAGCATGCAGCTGCCGAAATAACATCCCCAGGAGGAGTCGGACGGTACAGCGTTGTCGAGTGAAAGGCCCCGTTGCCGAAACAAAGAACTCGCGATCGACCGAAAAGTTTCGTTGATATTGGCGCCCGCGCACTTTCTCTTTTTTCACGGCTCTCTCACTCGGGGGCAGCATCAATCACGAATCTGAGCGGGTGAGTGCCACGACGGAGAAAGTGCGCGTGCGCTTCCTGGTCAAGTGTCGACGCTGTGAGATGCCACTGACCGTTGACGAAGACGTGTTGTCTCCAGATGTGGTACTGGTTCCAGCGGTCGTCGTCCTGAGCGTGGCCGTGTTGCAGCTGCGGCAGCGAAGGAAGCGGCGGGGGCGGCGCGGGCGGCAGCAACTGGGGCGGCGGCGCGGGCGGGCCCAGCGGCTGAATGGGTTGGTGCTGATACTCCATAGGTTCGAGTCGAGGCGTTCGGGACGCGCTCGCTCAGTGATCACTCATCGCGGTGGGCGCGGAGAACGCGGCGTGCAAGCGCGGCGGCGTGCGGCGCGCGACTGCCGAGCGGAGGGTCCGCGTGCTACTGCGCCCCGCCGCGCGCCCCCCCTGCACTCCCCCACTCAGCTCAACCAATACTTCCGAGCACGCAACACTCAGTTTTAATTGCGGTGACATAATAGCCGCGATGCGCGATCACTCTCGCCGCCGCTGCCGATAACTGATTACTGTTGGCGCTCGCGCCTGCTGCGCACGTCGTGTGTACATAAGAGAGCACGTGTCGCACGCCGCTTGTAAACAAAGCCGACAACTAGGTTATACGAGCCCACTGCAGCGCTAACATCATCACGTAATCACTTTACGCGTACTGATTAATTATTATGAATATGAGCAAAGGCTATATAAAATTAGGCAGAAAAATCCGTTCCTCTACGACGTCTATTCGTTGCAATTGCAACACAACTGAGATCAAAATAAAATCAGTTATTTCAAATAGACAATCAGAAGGCACTTTTAAATTATATATACATATATATCTGTCAGTTCCCTATTAAAACTATTTATCTCCTTCCAAAAAGTAGTATCTTACACAAAAGAACGAACAAGTTACTAGTACACCCAAACATCTAACCAAAGACGCACAATTTGAAATGATCTTCAAAGGCATAAATTTTGACCATTCAAAGCTAATCCCACCTACAACACCAGGACCGCCAATGAGACTTTTGAGTAAGTATAACAACTCCAATAAGAGACAAGAACTTTGTACTATTTAAATTTGATTTTAGAAAACACGGCTTCATTAACTGTTTCTCAGTTCTAATTACTCACACGCGTTTCTAATCAAAACTTATAAGATAATATTGATATGAAGTTAAAAGAAGTACATACTATATTAAATATTTACACCTATGCTTACCTTAAGGGCTACAAGATGTGACTTCACGTATATGTGTAAGTGTCTAAGCAGCTACAAAAGTTTCAGCATCCAGGGTGCAATAAATAATTTAAGCGCGCGTTGAAGTCTTTTGCAGGACGCAAAATACTTCTCGGTCGACTTGGCCCGGGTCGCACAATTGTAGTATTTCGGGATATTTATTTAAAAACAACTATATTGCACATTCTTAAAGCTGAAACGCTTTTACAATTATGATATAGGTATCTACAATACTACTAAGAAGAAAACCTTCCTTCATCGTCGGAACAGCAAAGGAAAAACTTTAGCTCTTTAAATAAAATTTGACTGAAAAAAAGAACGACCCCGAGGAGACACAAATTGCCGGAAATCTAAGTAACCTAGTTTTCTTCCTAACATTGGTCTGTAAAAGTGTGATTATTAAGCCCAATATTGCTTTGTTTCTTTAAATTCGATAAGTGCCTCGTTATGAAAATTTTTTATCGAACTTATTTTTCAGTATTCTGTCCATTCATATTTATTTTAAAACTCTGACAAATATTATGTTTTTGGTTAATTCTAATATGTCGCCCTACTAAGTGTATACACAGGTATTAATTTAAACATGTTGTTGATTTTTTAATTCTATCATTCCTCATTATCAAGTTTGAGATGTTATGGAATTACGGGACTCTTTCAAAGTAGTTACACGTGGTATGACGAGATAGTCAATAGAGAAAGATGCGGAAGCAGATAGGTGGTGCAGATGTGCAGTGGGGTAATTAGTACTTCGCCACAGCTACTAGTCAGTAGGTACCTATTTAAAGCAACATACACTGGGGCCGGGCAGAGACGGTGTTGCGCGTGCATCGATATCGACTACAATGGTGTTTACTTGTCGCGCACCAGCTGGCGTTGACTCACATCGAACATTCTCATAGTTTTTTCAGGAATTTCACAACAATTAACATTTGTGTTAGCAAAAATTGTAAACTTTTCTTTCAAACACTAATAACCTACAATTTTTGTTTATCTTTACTTCAATGGTGAACAAAGTGTAATAGTACTGACGCCCTCATCTCAGAATCAGGTGGCGCATCGGTGTGATTTAATCTAGTACCACAAGCGCAGAGACGAGCATGTTTATCAATTTAAAGTCTTTATAATTCTAGAAATATTTTTTCTAAGTTACACCTTTCAATAGAAATATCTGAGATTGACGTCACAATGGAGCGTAGTCCGCAGAGTAATGAAACACAACACCTGATAAAACTGCACGGCTACATGCAATATGGTCATACACACCTGTGCACAGTATCCACATAAATACGCTCTACAGATTTTTATTAGTGGACAGATTTGACCAAAACAAAATGAGTTTATGACCTTTATTTTTTCGATAAAAATAATACTATATACAATCTGACACGCTGCAGATTGGCAGATTATAGCATCATTTCTGTATACTTCGTGCGGATATAATGCATATTTTGGACCTTTTTAACGAATGTTGTACATTAAGTTTCGGCAAGAATGTAGTTAGTACAAAAATTTCGGTGAAAATCGTATGTGCCATTTATTATTATTTATGGCTGACTAAACTGGTTACCTATGTTTAGAAAGTAAGGCAATATTTGGCAAAATAAATCACATGTTTCAGATTTGTTGTCAAATCCATCCTCAAATCTACATATAGTTATGTATTTTAATTTATGGACATTTACAAGTACAAGTAACATAAATAATGAAACACATTTTTTTCAGAAATTATGCCACATTATGTGCTTTTTTCAGACATTTTAGAATCTTTATTACGCATTTATGAGTATGTTATCCACTGATTTCCCCACAATGTTGGTCATGGCTCCTCAGATCAAAATATTTTCATTTATTCTTAGATTGCTAGGAAAATACAAGTCATATAGTCAATTATTACGACTAAAACTTTTAAGTATTTTATTTTTTGCATTGATAAATTAAACAGCACTGCTTAGTACAATATAAGAAAAAAATATTCAAGTAAAGCTAGATTTTCGCGAACAACTTATCAAAATTATTTTATTCTTATTAAAGATTTTTACTTTCACTCCAATTTAACTAAGTATAGTGTAAAAAAATATGAACGTGCGTGGGATTTTATGAATGGTATCTGGTAACTTTATAGGTAAGTGAGTGAGGCGATTTAAAAATAACAACGAGTTTATTTAGATTTTGTTTTATGTTTCTTTAAAAAACATTAATAACAAATTCCGCTCATTTTTTTTAGAGACGAATCACTTTTACTGCTATATGAACCTAATATAATATACATTCCCCTTCTAATTGGTTTTCTTCAGAGTTCCTTTTAGGATCCCCCACAAAAATATTGTTTCAATATTTTTGTGTATTATTGCCACTCGACAATGTCAGGAATTTTATGTTATTCTAGCTTCTAGCATAGTTTTGTCCGTGTTATCCGGACGAAAAGGAGCCTATATGTTATTACTGATTTAATCAACGTTTTTGCCATTTATTTCAAAATCTATTCGGTTTTTTAACATAAAAAACAAACATTCATTCATCTATATTTTCAAAACGTAAACGTTTATAATATTAGGACCTACGTATACTAGTATGTCTAAAATCTACGATACTACTGTGATACTAAACTACTTCGAACTCTATTCCAGATTGTTGTATTGTCTATGATTAGTATTACTAATCAGTGTTGCACTATTATTGTCTATGTCGTCATATCACTATAAAGAGGGTGGCCGAGCAAGTGTCGGCCATTGACAATGTAACTCTGGTGCAGTGAGCTGCAGGACTGTGTACTACCTAATTAAAGTCCAGTATCCAAGATCCAAGTCTTTCAATCATATTACATGGTGTCAGAAGTGAAAAGAACAATTTATTTCACGTAAGTCGGTCACAAAAATGGACCAGTCGAGTTCCGAGCCATGCGGCGTGGGCGACCAAGATGGCGTCCAAGGTCTCAACACGAGGATGAAATCATTAAATATTTCGTCGGATTCCACAAATAATAATGCGGAAGCGTGGAAACGGTGGTCGCAGCAACTGGACCTATATCTACTCGCCACGGGTTTAGACAGGGCACCCGAGAAGAGAAAAATACCCATACTGCTGCATCTTATAGGTGAGAAAGGCCTAAACATTTATAATACATTTAACCTCAACATCGACAAGACCACGCTTGCCGAAGTGAAGCAGAAATTCAATAATTTTTTTGAGCCCCGGAGGAACATAACCATGTGTCGTCACATGTTCTTCACGAGGAGGCAGAAGCAATCCGAGTCCATCGAAGGATTCCTGGCAGACCTGGAAAATAAGAGCCAGGATTGTGAATTCGGAACGCTCAAGGAGTCCCTCATCAGGGATATTTTCATTGCCAATCTGCACATGGACCTGGCACATGTCCGTCAGAGATTGCTTCAGGAGCCTGATCTGACATATCAAAGGATGCGCGAACTGGCGAGAACATTAATCGTCGCACAGCAAGATGCTGAGAAAATCGTCGGTTCCAGCGAGAAACAGGAAAATGTAATGCATCTACGTCGGAGGAGCCGTAGTCGAGGAGATCGTCGACAGCGAGCTTCACCAGTCGGTCGGCAGGGTCCTGGTACGAGGCAGTCTCCCAACCCTGAAAGGCGCACGAGGCCGTGTAGCCGCTGTGGGCAGTCTCATCGATACAAGTGCCCAGCGCAGGGAGTCCAATGCAGGTCATGTAATTTATTTAATCATTTCGCTAAATTTTGCTTTAAAAATAAAAATGTAAGTCGTTTAGAGTCGTTTAATTCAAATAGTAACAGTAGTCAGGATCATTATTTCATTGGAACATTAAACAGTCATTGTCAAAGTCATATAAAGTCAAATAAAAGTACAAAATATAGTCAATATAATGTTAGGTCAAGTAAAAAGTCAGCCAGTACACAGACACATTGTCAATCTGAGAAAATCATTCTCATGTCAAATTTCTGTGATGATAGTGGTGATAATGTCATGTCTAAGAGGTCTAAAAAGAACCTCGGTGATGAAAACAGTCACCTGTCTGAGAAATATAATCTCATGTCATATGGTCACAATATAAACAAATGTTGTGATAGTCAAAGTGTGTATCTCAATGATGAGTACAGACACATGTCTGAGGAATCACCTCACACGCTCACACCACCACATCAAAGTCATCAGTCATTAAACAACATTAATACAGTTCAATCAGAACCTAACATTAACAAAAGTAAACAGTCCTGGAATATTAATTTAAAAGTAGGTAATTTAAAATTTAATTGCATCATAGATTCAGGAGCTGATTTAAACATTATGTCGAAGCAAACTTTTAATTATTTAAAACATAAGCTTAAACAGTTGTCAATTGTCAAAAGTCATATAAATGTCACAGGATTTAGTGGCAAATCAATACCCATTATGGGAAAGGTCAATATTAAATGTAATTTAATATTAAACAATAACAATGTCAGTGAGAACATAGTGTTCATAGTCGCAAATTTAGAGTGTCCCAATGTCTTAGGTCTTCCTACATGTGAAAGGTTAGGAATAATTAAAAGAGTTTTTTCAGTGTCTAAACAAAATTTTTGTCAACAAATTCTAACAAAATACAATGATGTCTTCCAGGGTCTTGGCTGTCTACCTCCTGTCTGTCACCTGAAACTCAAACCTGATGCAGTACCATGTGTGGATCCTCCCAGGAGAGTACCATTTGCGTTACTTGGAAAGCTACGCGAGGAGTTGGATCGCATGGAGAGCATAAAAGTCATAGAAAAAGTCACTAAGCCTACAGAGTGGGTGAATAGTATAGTTATAACTGTAAAAAGTTCAGGTCAGTTACGAATTTGTTTAGATCCTAGAAATTTAAATAAAAATATCATAAGGGAAATATATCCACTTAAGTCAATTGATGAGATAAGATCTCAACTAGTTGGAGCTGTCTGTTTTTCTCATTTAGATGCATTTTCGGGTTTTTGGATGTTAAAATTAGATGAATATAGTTCTAAATTATGTACTTTTCAAACACCATTTGGTAGATATAAATATTTAAGGTTACCTTTTGGAATAAATGCATCATCAGAAATATTTCAAAGAGTTATGATGAATTTGTTTGGTGATTTGGAAGGAGTCTTAATATTCATTGATGACATTCTAGTCTATGGCCCAAATGAGTCTGTACATAATGAGAGATTACATAAAGTCATGCAAAGAGCACGTCAAGTTAATTTAAAATTTAACAAATCTAAATGTAAATTTCTAGTGTCTGAAGTCTGTTTCCTAGGTTATATCTTTAGTAAAGATGGTGCAAGGGTTGACCAAGAGAAAGTTAAAGCAATTGTCAATATGCCTACACCAAAAAATGTCAAAGAATTACAAAGAATATTAGGTATGATCAATTATTTAGGTCCCTTTATTAGTAATTTGTCAGAAAAAACTCAAATTTTAAGAAATCTTTTGAAAAAAGATTCTGTCTGGTCTTGGGATGAGAATCACAATAAATGTCTTAAGGGTTTAATAGATGAAATCACAAAGTCACCTGTCTTAGCTCACTATAACCCCAACATTCCATTAGTCTTGTCAGTAGATTCGTCTAAATCAGCATTGGGAGCAGTCATTTTACAAAATAATAAACCCATTGCTTATAGTTCTAAAACTTTAACCACAACCCAGTCAAGGTATGCTCAAATAGAGAAAGAATTGCTTGCAATTCAATTTGGTTGTGAAAAATTTCACCAGTATGTATATGGTCACAGAGTTACAGTTCACACAGATCACAAACCTTTAGTCTACCTGTTTGATAAACCATTACATGATGTACCAGCTAGGTTACAGCGAATGATGTTAACTTTGCAAAAGTATGATTTGAAAGTTATACATGTCCCAGGTAAACAAATGTTCATATCTGATACTTTGTCGAGAGCAGCCTTAAAAGATCATTATATTCCAGAGAATGAGTCTGAAATAACCTGTCATGTCAATTTAATGCATTCAAATTTAGCAATTACTAAGGATTACAGTACAAAATTGTCACAACAAACTAATAAAGATGAAAGTTTGCAATTGTTAAAGAAATATTATTATGAAGGATGGCCAAAAAGTAAAAACAAAGTTAGTCAATTAGTGAAACCATATTGGAATGTACAAGCTGAAATACATGTAGTTAAGGATTTGCTATTTAAAGGATCAAAATTAATAGTACCACAGTCTATGTATAAAGAAATGTTGGATAAAATTCATGAAGGTCACCAAGGAATAAATAAATGTCTCAAATTAGCTAGAGATTCTTTATATTGGCCAAACATGTCAGTTGATATTAAAAATTTAGTAGAACAATGTCTTATATGTGCAAAATTTAAAACTGCTAACCAAAAAGAGCCATTACAAAATTTTGAAATTAACAAATATCCATGGCAACAAGTTGGTATTGATTTAATGTACTTTGATGGTCTTTCTTATTTAATTGTTACAGATTACTATTCTAAATACATAGAAATAGCTTTGTTAAATAAGAATAGTACAGCCAAAAATGTAATTACACATTTAAAGTCGATTTTTGCCCGTCATGGTATACCTTTGTCATTAGTGTCTGACGGTGGACCTCCTTACCAATCTTTAGAATTTAAAAATTTCTTACATGAATGGGACATAGAACATGTTGTTACTAGTCCATATCATGCACAGTCTAATGGTCAAGCTGAAAGTTCAGTTAAAATTGTCAAAAATATGCTGAAAAAATGCAAAGAAAATTCGTCTGATCCTTATATAGCTTTGTTGCAATATAGAAACACACCTAAGAATAATTTACCGTCCCCAGCTCAACTCTTAATGTCTAGGAATTTAAGAGACAATGTCCCTAAGTCGTATAAGAAATTAAAACCAAAGGTAGTAACATTTAAAGATTACAAAGAATGTGTAACTAAGAATAATGATTGTAAGTCTAAATATTATAATAGAAGTGCTAAGCCTTTACCATTGTTATATCCCAATGATCATGTCTACTTCAAAAGACAACCTAGTTGTAATTGGGAACAGGCTATTGTCAAGCAAAGGCTGGCAAATAATAGGTCATATGTCGTTGAGGATGTCAATGGAGTTAGGTATAGGAGAAATAGGATTCACTTAAGGCATAAGTTCTCTCCTATGCTATCCAACTCATCGTCGTCGTCGTCTTTGTCATCGCAAGGGAGAGAGGATGGTGACAGTCAGAAGGCTGGACCTCAAGAACTCTCATCTCGATCCTCAAGTAGTCAATTTGTTACACGTTCAGGTCGTATTGTAAAGCCCACAAGAAGGCTAATAGAAGAAATAGATTAAGATAAGAAATATATTTTGTAATCTTATATGTTGTAAATTAAGTACCTAGTCAAGTTATATAAGTATAAGTCGTTTATAATATTGTCAAGTTGTCATAGTGATAAGTCTGTTTTGTAAAGGGTTAATTTAAACTTAACAAGGGGGATGTTGTATTGTCTATGATTAGTATTACTAATCAGTGTTGCACTATTATTGTCTATGTCGTCATATCACTATAAAGAGGGTGGCCGAGCAAGTGTCGGCCATTGACAATGTAACTCTGGTGCAGTGAGCTGCAGGACTGTGTACTACCTAATTAAAGTCCAGTATCCAAGATCCAAGTCTTTCAATCATATTACACAGATTACTGTTACAACAAGAAGAAGCAGACATCACGACGATATTTACGCCCAGAAATGAAATTACGAATCAACAAAGGTAAGAAGTATGTAAGAGTCGCGTGCTATGGATATGCGTGTGTGTAGCTGTATGCGTGTGTGCGATAACCCGAGGCTATCGTCGTGCGCACTTGAACTCGCATTGTTAATTACTGCTTAATTGTAACGGCATTATAAACTATTGTTTTGTATGTTTATGTTTAGTTAGAAAACTAAGCAGAGCAAAAGGCGACCATACTTCGATTGTATAGTCATCGTTTGATTCAGAACACAGCGGCGCCGGCGCCGGCTTCGTATCATCTAAACTCACAGTCAAGGACTCGGCCAAGTCACCGGCTTGTGAAAGTGTATCAACGCCTTTATTAATCTTGTTTGTATTAAAAACTAGAAAAGGAGAATTGTTTATAAATACTAGTCGATTAGAACGCAGAAACTAGCAATATACCATTCGTGAGGAATTCTTAAATACCTATCAAACACGTTGTTGATCTATAAAAGTCGATATTGAATCTAAACTTTTTGCACTTACATATAATACGGAAACATATTTTGATTGTATTTCTTAAAACAAAGTTACAGTATTTAAGATATTGTAGAAAGGGCTTAGTGGAATACAATAACTAAAATATTTTATTTTTATATTTCATATTAATATAATTATATTCAAAACTAGCCGTATCCAGCCGGTTGCGATGTCCAGATTATCTTCTCTGCTTTTCTAAAAGTATATTTCATATAAACCCTCTGCTGGCCTTAACGAACACAATAAAATAAGAATTGGCATTAAATGGTCCAGGGGTTTTCGAGTTATGCCCTTACCAACACACTTTGCTATTCGTTTTATAGTATGGAAGATATGTTTAGTCCCGTACTTAAATGTAAAAGTACATAACTAGACGGATCTAATTATTGATCATCTATTAAGTTGACAGTACATGCACATGTATGTGTATACTGCTACAGACTTATACTTTATAAAGTTGGTAGATACACGCAGGTGGACTATACTAGCTGTAGTACTTAACATGTGCACTATTCCGTTTTGCACAGTTTCCCATTCATGTATCAATATGTTATTAAAACAAAGTGCCCGAGTCCTGAGGTGCATTCTGAATTATTATTCAAACTATTCAAAGTCGTAAAACATATTAAAATGAAAGAAATTGAGATTAAAAATAATTGTTAAATGGTATCAAGCACCGTCAACTTTTACATCAGCGGCCAGAGCCTCGAAAGGTGTCACTGCCAAAACCTTGGTCCGAGTTAGCGCGGCAGGTTTCACTTTCATGGGAGAGAGCGGGCGGGCGGGGGGAGGGGAATGGCGGCACCGATCGCCCGCGCATACCTCTTACAAAAAATAAGCAACTTTTCCTTTCTCAAAAACACGAACACTTTCACCTTAGCCGAAACCTGCGCGAAAATACCGCAGCATTTAATGCGCATATTGGCATAGATGTACGATGCCGGCTGGCAACGAGTAGTTCCCACTATCGTCGACTTGTTCCGCAATGTATCTGTATGACCGGTACACTCGTGGACACGTGGTGGTGGTAAGATCAAACCTCTTAATCAAATTATCCAATTAATTTTCCATACGTTCAATTACTTTCTTATCGTTCGCCTACGAAGTGGACTTCAATAACAATACGAACTATAATAATATGCTTATCTCTGAGCACTCGAATTGTTAACACAAGTACCAGTGCAGCAGTGCTTAGGTTACAATACTTCCGAGTCCCACAACTGCTTTCTACACGACTAACAGCCAGTCTCTAAAAACTATTTATCAGAAACTTTTTGTATGGAGCTATGTTAAAATTCTATCTCTAGCTAGTAATAACGCTATTGCAACAGATCTCAAGGGTCAAAAGCACGGCATCCAAAGTAATGCAGCGCTACAGGGCTAGGAAGCAGCAATGAGCAGTGCAGGCAGGGGTAGCACCTGGCGGCGCGCGCTTATCGAACCCTTATCGTACCATTGTGCGAGTACAATAACATCGATGTTTACATTCGTAGCACCTGGCTTGGTCAGCTACCGCCATGATCGCCGAGTGCCACCGATGTCTCCATCTTATATCAAAATCTGGCTGGTCCAGATATGGGAGTACCAGGAAGGAAGAATCGATCTAGCTATCCCTAACGTAACTTAAACTTGGAGTAATTGTTCGCCTTGTTGTGTGTGGGTGTCCGGCTAGTGTGTTCCCTTTGTACGCGACCTTATTAGCGAACTTGTACGTCTTCGAAATGTTGAAAGCGCGCTCGCGACCTTGTCAATATCTGAAAACAGTGGTCGAGCTGGCGACGTGTCGCGGTGCGCTTTCACCGCTCTCCTCCGCTCAGTTTGTGGCGCTCCATTTCATTGTGCCAAACTTTCCGATAAAATACTTAAATATAAATTTATTCCACGGATCCTTAGTCATATCATTTAAAAATAATATTGATGGAATCGGCCCATCAAAATGGTGTACTTACGCAAAAAATGGTAAAGCTAAACTTAGTAGTACTGCATGTATCACTATTAAATTGATAGGTACGAATATGAAAATCTTAACATGCCAAGATTTAAACAAGCTGTCCAAAAATTCTGGCTAGAGATTATATCTGGACATAATATAAATAAAAAGGGTTAAACGAAGTAAAATAAAGCATGCTCACATTTAAACACACAATAAACACACTCACTCAAGGGTAACAGATTTTATGATGGGAGCCGCGGAAGGTTTTGCTGTATTTCAGGGGGTAAAATAAAAAACGAAAGAAAACAATGGACCTTAGTCCTAGGCGGCACAACAGAAATATTTTTGCACGTATCCGCCATACATTGCATTTTAGTCCGTTAGTTATATGTACATATTATTATATCGATTAATTCATAAAAAACTTTTTAATACGTCAAAACAAGGTCCAGTACGAAACTGGCACTTGCAAAACCACTAGAATAGGTCCACTTAGGATGTTTTTCAACGCATAGTGCGGTAGTGAAAGTGACTTGAAGCGGATCCCATAGGGTGCGGGCGGCGCGGCGGGCGGCTAGGGCCTTCACAGACGAGGCACTTGGTCCGAGGGACTTGCTTCGACTTTATCATATAAGTAGATTACTCATGATACAGTGAAGGCAAGACCTCAGAGCTCAAGACATGTAAACGTAAATGGATGTATTAGGAGACAAAACGGCTCCTTGTCTGCGTGGGTTATATTAAGATTTACGTCATTGTCCATTTTTTTAGAACTCATTACGCTTTGTTTAGTCTAAGAGGGCACTTAAACATAAATAGCGATCCGACTCGGCTTTGCCCGGGTGCAATGCTGATACTTAATTTTTTCCTTCTGTCTACCTTCCTCTTTAATCGATCTAGCTATAAAAAAGACGCATCTAAATCCTTTGCATAGTTTTAAAGAATTAAGCATACATCGGCACAGAGAAAGCGACTTTGTTTTATACTATGTAGCAATAATTTTATTCGCATAATTGAGATGAACTATGAACTTAGAACCTTAGTATGAGTTTAATCAACAAAAAATTACTTAAACACTTTTTCGAGTCAAGATGAAAAAAAACTCAATTCGAGTACATGGCAATACTTACGAGTAAATCATTCGAATCGAACGATTTCAAGATCAAATATATCAACAAACAATTACTCTAACCAAGGTACAAAATTCACAACGATTTTTCTTTCTCCCCTACTTTTGCCTAAAAAGGTACATAGATACGACTATTTTGAAGCCTCGTCAAAAGTTTGTGAGTCATTTTTTATTTTATAATATGTAGCTGTGTTTATCCAAACGTAAAAAATATCGTTATTTAAACTTATACTGAGAGGATTATATATTTATACTATTTATATTTATACCCACATAATGACATAATATACTCGTTTATTAAAAAGTTTCTTTATCAAATTTCGAAAATGTAATATCGTTACTAAGAAAAAACATTATGTACAAGAAACTTGTAGATCTTTTAATTATTCTATTTCTCCCTCCCAGCCACAAAATCAAAGCAATAATTTAAAACAAAACTAATATTTTACTGTCTTCTGACACATTATCAAAATTTAAACCCTTTTTAATTAATTAATTTGCAAAACGTAAACATTGAACGAGATGGACTCGCTTCACTTTTATAGATTTGTTCATATACTTTCCTATCTAAATCTAAATTTCACTTCAACATTGACAGCCGTAGGGTTTTTGTTTAGTCTAGGTCTAAACCATTGAGCCAGTTATTATATTTCAAATTAAAGAAAGGTGAGGATAAGAGTCATAATACTAAACCTGACACAATAGTTTACACTTAGTTTGAAGATAAACCTTCTTTTGAAATAAGGGGGTTAACATATACAACCTAATTTAGTTTCACTTAGTTTTTAATAATTTAGGAATGAAAATTTACGTTTCAAAAAAACATTTGCTATCGAACTCATACTATGAGTAAATTGTACTGCTTTCTAGCTGTCACAGGATAGCTTTACCCGAATAGTCACAGGATCATTCGGGAAGCCTCAGGATGAGGCCAGTTGGTCTGAGCCAATTATTGGAAAACTGAAGCATTCCAATTCTGCTGCCCACCTTGTAAGAATGTTGTTTTAAATGGTTCACAAGCAAAGAAAACGCTCAGTATAATAATTTGTGTGTAACTCTGGGACGCAGGTCGACACGAGCTCGAGCGGCGCGCTCGTGTCGACACATGACGAGTCACGTGCGCTAACAACACGCTGTACCTACGATGACGTTTTCATGTACCAACCGCTGATATTCATTTACGTTTCTAGACATCGTTCAGTGATCCAATTAGAAGAATATAACCTATATTATGCATATATACATATTATGTACGTCCGTGTACCTTATAATTATTACACATTATTAGGTGCGACGACTGCTGATTAATAGTTATTTGTTTTGTGAATGTCGCAAAAAATCAACATAAACAAAACAATCAACATAAAATGTTCCACGTGAGGGCAGTGCGTATGTGAAAGGAGGATGACTAGAGTATAAGACCTATAGTGGCCGGAGAGAGTGTGGCTCTACGGGAGACAGGGTGCATACGATTTTTTTTTTTAATTTAATTATTTGGAAATTCATAAACAAGTTTTGATTGCAACATTGAAAGAAAAAAAGTTGTGTAAATATTATTTTATTTGTTCTTATTTGTTATAAGTTGTATTAAGTGGTTCCGCAACTGGAAAATATTATAAATGTCATATCCTAGAGTTAGAGCAAAAATAATGCAAATAAAACATGTTTCTAGAAATGCGATGCAGTGGCTGGGAAACCGGCTGCCGTGCAAAGTGTCGCGGGTTCGATGCCCGCAAGGAACAACACTTGTGTGATTCACAAATTGTTGTTCCTTGTATAAGTGGGATGTACGAGTATATGTAAAATTATCTTATCTTACTAATATTATAAATGCGAATGTTACGATGTTTGGGCGTTTGTTACTCAATCACGCCAAAACGACTAGACGGATCTGGATGAAATTCGGCACGTGCATAGGATACATTCCGGAATAGGACAAAGGCTTATTATCCATATAACACCCGGGCGAAGCCGCGGGCGGAAGCTAGTATGTTTATAAATGCACACATATCACAGGAGAAAATCCCATTGTGAGACACCCTATGCACACATTTTTGTGATAAAAAGTTTAAAGAAAAGTCCATTCAGTTTTCTCAGATGTCGCTATAACTACTTAGTAAAAGGTCAAATCTTTATGATGCTTTAATGATGAAAGATGAATTTCGAATCTTCTGCATCTGCAACGACATAAAAATTATACCCACACAGAAATATAACTGAATGTGTACAGGGATCGCCAAAATGTCTGAATAATGTACCAGAAACTATTTAATGTATGCCAATTTAAAACGTGTCTTTATTGGTTTTACATAAATGTTATTTTAGTGTAAACTAATTAATTAATAATAGTTTACATTTCAGCGTCTCAGTTTGTCTAGTTCAATTTAAATGTCGGACGTTGTTTTGTTGTAAAAGTGGACAATATTTATACTGACATTGTAGCAACCAACAATGAACTCTAGGATATTATCACTTACTGAATTCAAGCTATTGTGAACAATCAATTAATTAAAGATGTTTATTTGTAAGAATATTTATACAAAGATTAAAGAAGTAAATCATGTGAATGCAGTGTTAAACATTGTATTTGTAATTGCTAACAAAAATAATAAAATACTGATTATTTTTATAAAATTTAAACTCATCACCTGATAAATTGTCTCTGATGTTAATTAAAGTATAAACATATGTATGTTTGCTATTCGCTAATTCTATTTTTTCTCAATAGCAACTATCGTAATATTTACCCAAATTTATTAAAAAAACGATTTACGTGAATAACCTGGGAAAACCTCTACAAATTTCAAATCACAACGGGACTCTAATTAATGAGCAGCGTCCGCGTCGCGATATTAGCGAATTCTCTGTTTATTTTATAGTCACAATACCTGTTGAAGATCAACCTATTTTTCAAGACTGCTTTTCATAATGGTGTTTTTCTTTTAAATACATAGATTATTAGCTACTCTTGCGCGGTTTCGGCTCCATTTAATCGTAGCGTGATCTTTTATAGCCTATAACACTCAGGAGCATTGTAGCTATCTATCAGTGAAAGAATTTTGGCAACTCGATCAGCGGTTCCAAAGATTACTCCCTACATACAAACTTACAAATTTTATCTCTTTATAATATTAGTATAGATTATGACGGTACTATTTAAAGCCTTCTCAACTTTGAATAAGAACAAGATTGCAGACCTAAGGTAATAGGTAATTGTGTATAATATGCAATATAGCTCTGTAATCACTGCTATAATAGCACCTGTATTAGCTCTCATTATAAATAATTGTATTGAGCGTGGTATATTTCCTGACCATAAGAAGAAAAGTAAAATAAATCCTTTATTTAAGTCGGGTAGCGTTTGCGTCCACACCAACTATACACCTGAGTCAATACTGCTTACTTTAAGTGCTTAATTGTTTTTGAAAAATTTAGTCTATATCAAATCTGTTGTTAATAAAGTGGCAGGGAAACCGGCTTTCGCACTTTCACGTATCGCCTTTTCGATTCCCGGACGCCGCAATTTTGTTATCCATAATTTCTCGTTTCAAGTCTAGGTGTTTTTGTGTATTGTGTATGTTTGTAAAAGCAAATAAGAAAATCCTAGTGTGGAGGAACTTTTATAAAAACGACATGATTTTTTACGGAATAAGTTATTTATTTGGTGGAAAACACTATGGCATTCCAATGACAAGTGGAAGGACGAGAGTTTTTTTTTAATCATCAAATGACATCTCCCGGCCAGGGTCGGACGGAATCAGTCTCAGACTCTTACTGACTAAAAACCCCCCCGTTCCTTCTCCCGCTCTGTCCCGAGGCCGCGGTGACTTATTGCGCTTATCCCGCAACCCCGAAGTTACACTTTCGCTTGTAAGGGATAACTATGAGATAGTACTGTTACTTTAACTGACAATACTTCTCTATTATTGAAGCCTAACTATAAATGTATGCTCTTACAAAAATAGTTAACTGTTTTTTCTGCATTTACTAAACGAAACTTAAGCGGCGTCAGTTATCAGGCGGATAGAATCGTCTGATAACTAACGCCATTTTGTTGATCAAGAAGTCTGAAGTTTAGTTTCAGTTGACATTAAGTCTATCCTTGTTCTACAGAAGAGATCTATTCGGTCAAACCAGTCTTAGTCTAAGGCGCTTGCCTAGTAACTTGTTCGAGAAAATAAAAATGATAATAGCCTTTCAACATACGTTAATTTATAAAAATGAAAATAACGATAAAAGAAAGTGTATTTAAAAATTCTACCGATATATCATTATTTGTTTAATTTTCTGTAAACTTTTGTTTGCCAATAGCCTGCTGTCGCTGCAAATTAACTTAATTAGCTGTTCAACACACTGACAGTTGCCGTTTCAATTAACTTTGAAAGACTAGCTTTTTGAATAAATCGCTTAATTTCTCCGACAAGCCGAAGAAAGAAATCGCCACCAAAATGGCAAAGAAGGTTAGATTAAAACTGTGACATAAAACAAATTTAATTTACACAAGGTATTGTGTATAAAGCATGCAAGACAATAGTGTCAATGAAAACATTGAATGAAACATGAAAGCATAATAAGCTAATTGACAGCATCACAGGACAGGACAGGGATAATCATCAAAAATCAAAAAACTTATCTTCACAGTGTGAGGCTAGAGGGAGTGTCAGACGCTTGCTGATTTAAAACCACACCGGTCCTTCTCTTGTTCTAGGTCGGGACGAATTGCCGAAAACGAGCGAAAATCGATATAAGTTACTAAATAAACGACCACCTACAGTCGATATTTTCGGACCAAGTAAGCTGAAAATGTCATAATAACAAGATCGGTATTAAATCTATCTTATTCATAAAGAAATACGCGTTACACTTTGTATTAAACTAGATAAATCGAGACGAAATTGTGATAATCTAATATTTGAAACAGACGAGTTCAACGACAAAGCTAAGGAAAAGCTTCCCATGAAAGCCGATAGATGGCGCTAATTTAATAAATATTAGGTACACTTTTGCACTAATTATTATTCAAAGTTAACGATAGCATAACACGCTCTTATTGTGATCCGTAGAGATTTCTAGAGGTGCACGTGTTATATCATATACCTGGTACCCACTTCGGGAATATATGCTGAATTTTTAGTTTTACGTCATATCTATAACATACATATGTATAAATGAACCCTAATTTTCCTTAACACGGCTAGACCGAAACTGATAATTATTTTAATGCTGTTTTACTTAAGTTCAGGAGAAAATTTTATTACTACAGTAAAAAGAGAATCATAGCTTTCTGTTCCATAGCAGTTCGCTATCAAACAAATGACTATCACCGAGAGTTTGGGCACCCAGGTAAGAACAGACTGGCATTGCGTCATAAAAGGAATTACAAACATGTCAATAGTCCATTAGAATTACGTGAAAATTTAATGTTATGTTTTAAAACGTTATTACTTTAGTAATAAGAGTCAATCTTATACAAATACATGAAAAAAATTGCCACCAACTTTACTCCAAAGTGAACACACCGCAATGATGTAAGTCGTGTAATGTTCTATCAGTACTTATCAAGAGTTACTTGAGGCCTGTAGTTTACCTCAACAATTACATGTACATACATAAGAAACTACTCAATGTGGTTATAATGTGATTGTTAACTGAACACCCGCGCCGGCGCCGCCTGTGTTCTATACTTCGTTTCAGTTATAATTTTTATGTTTCCCCTCTTATCGAAGCCTTATCACGCTTCGTGATTTACTACCGAATTAATTTATTTCTTTTATAATTTTGTGGCTATAAACACCACCTGAATTCTATGCGAAGGGCTGCAGGGATTTTTTTAAAACCGGTAAATTAAAATAATGCCATGCAACAAATTTAATACATAAAATTATTGGTCTCTAGTGTAAATTTATATTGTAACTACTGTTTATATTTGTGATCATTCTAAACTATAAGACAACAAACTTGTATAGTACAATGTGTGCTGTTAGGGAGTGAGTCTACGCACGTATATGTATGAAGGCATGATCCAAGGAGTCTGTTTGATACACAAAATGATACACGAAGACGATCAGTACAAAAATGAAGACCAGTCACGTTCAGAAGTAAGTTTCAGCAATCGCAAAAAAGAGAAGCGGGGACATGAATAATGTATACATATATACAATATGAGTGGAGTGTGGCGGAGCGGCGAGCAGCTGAAGCCGCGTGCCGGTCGCAAGCCGCCTGATGTCAACAACGACACCGGCGGAGTAGGCGACACACGCACACAGCGCAGTGAGCGTGCGCGTGTGTGCGCCTGCAGTCGCGTGCTCACTCCAAGCGCATGATAACACTGACAACCTGTGGCGCTAGGCCGGGAGCCATACCTGCTGGGTGGGCACCGAACAGCTGTGAGCAACGAGTCGGCGCGGCAAACGGCGGGGGTGGCTGCGGCGCCAGGAAACATAGCTCACTGTTCTGCGGCAAGGAGTACCTGGAGGAGGCACTAGCCGAATCAGTCCCCATGTCTATGTATCCGTGCTTGTCTAAGCGATGAGAGGGCCAGCATCGCGCGCTGCCCCGTTCCGTTCTAACACACTCAATCGTTGCTGCAATCACTGTACTGATAACTCAACTCGCGGAGGAACTGCGGACACGACCGTTCCTGAAGCTGTTCGCGGCAGGATTGATGAAGGAGTCGACGAGCGCGCGGCGCGCACGCTCAGCGCCACGTGCGCGCCGCACGCTTGGCGGCACGTGCTGCACCCGCGTCCGCCGTCCCCCCTCGTCCCGCACCCCGCGCCCTCTCGCCGCCCGCCCTCGAGGGTGGAACCACCCCCTCTGGACGTCATGGATATACTCGGCTGGCTCGAAATCCGTACGTCCGCGACTCGCACCAAAACGCATTAGCAATGTAGCTAGGTACCAATGTAATGAAAACCAGTTTCTTTGATATAAGTAATCATTTAATCAATATCCGTGTTAACAATATACACTTGTATGTGAGACTCGTGCCCGAGCTCAGACTTCATGTAGTAATTAATTGCTCATAAAACTAATTCACCGTTACAGCTGATACAAGTAATTTGTACTGTTCTACTACCTGATTCGGAAAGAGAAGTTGCAGTATGTGCAGTATAGTTTCTTTGATTGCAGTCAAAGTCGATGATCCGGTGGTGTAGTAGACGTAAATGTGACCGCCAGCGCTTGAATCGGTATGTACGGGTAACTCGGCCGAGTACATACCGCAACGAAATGTTGAGTTTTATTATGTCTTCTCAATATCAGAGTTTAAAATATCAGCATCATAGCCAGAAGTTAAACATGGCGTTAGCTGATAAGTAGTCACTACTTTATATGAAAACATCGATAATTTAGTTGTTCTACAAAATTCAATGTAGTGGAACAAGAAAGGAGCCCCCATAACCAGGTGACCAGGGTAGGCCACAGTAGACATGTGCGATCAAGAAGCTGCACACATAAAGTCAGAAGCTTACAGAGAGCGTTGACTTCAAAACCACCTTAAGGGCACACCTATTTATAGAACGATATAGTTGTTGTTATTGGAGAAAAAACGTCATGTTATTGTTATGTCGTAGCCGTTTTAACTTTTACTTTTAGTTAGTAGGAGTGTGTAGGTTCTGGATGTCACCTGCCGACTGGCGGCTCCGTCACGTGGTCGCCCCCTCAAGTAAGTACTAATCCGTGTTGTGCTCAGCGGCCACCTAGCGACACCTCTCCACATACTCCACTTCTCTTTTGCTACATCAATACTCGGTTATTTTAGGAACAATACGATTGAACGATGTCATTTAGTTTCGATAAATTCTCGGCCTTCTACTCAATAACAATAATAATTCCGTTCAGTATAAGTTTTAACTAGGCTCTACGAAAGTCGAGTACGAAAGTACATGAATAAACGTCTGTTCATATAGCGAAATAAAATTAAAGCGGATTTATTTTCGCACATCGCGTTTACATTTGTATGAACAACTTTTAAAAAATTGCAATAAATCTTCGTTTATTTTATTGAAGCATGCGGATAGGCTTCATATTGGTAATTTACTGTACATATATCTAAAGAAATAAGTGAGTAACGCACATGAAACTTACAGTACTGAATGAGTACGAGGGACTCAGCGACAGTGGCGTAGCGCGTAGCTGGCCGGTGCTACGACGGAGCCAGCGCTACGACACGTAGCACTACAGCCCCTTATTAAGAGAAAAACCAATGTGTGGGCAAGTTCTCAAGAAAAGATACCCGAATGTAAAATCGGTGTCTACTTCAACCCTATACATTTATATGTACTTTCGTTCAGTTGAGTTATTTGTATAATGCGTGTAGGAATACGTAAAAGGATATATTGTAATCATCTTGCAGATGCATCATTAAATTTCTCGGTTAGCTTGGCTACATTGGAGGCACCCTACCCAGAAGATAAAATTATGAAATGTAATAAAACAAACTTCTCTTTTTGCTGCCTTTGTGAAGCTTTGTTTATGACACACAACATTATTATTGTTTATCTCTTTATTAAATTTTTTAATTATAAAATAATAGCTTAATTTATATTTAACAACAGTACTACTGTTATCTGAGACTTATATTTTACTTCATATTTTATATTATATTCTGGTTACGGTATGGGTTGGTACGAGTATTTTTTAAAGTGGTGGGTGAAGATTTAATTTTTAACATCAAACTGCCCTAATTGGATGTAGAATTTGAAACTCAAGAAACCACAGTACGCAGGTAAAGGGTCGACAAAACCGGGATTTTAAATGTTTCTAAGAAGGCACTGAGGATTCTTGTAAATACAACGAAAATAGCATTCCTGTACTGTTCAATTTGTGTCCGAACTTTGCAAGTTTGTTTGGTTTCGTTACGTGCGTCGGTAGACTCTATTTCTGTATGGTAGGGCTGTTTTTTGCTAGCAACTCGATTCTGCTTAAGTACTACTGGTTTGAATCGAGTAACTATCGTATGCAACGCTGCGAGTAATCGACACGGTACGTTATATACGCTACACACAAGAAAGAGCTTTCCGGACTTGTGGGAATCAGTGATCACAAGCTTTAGAACAACAGTAATTATTATTGCAAGAAGAAGCAAAGTCTACATGGTTGGGAGGGAAAAATCACTTAGACTCGCCCAAAATGAAGTCAATAATTTTTGAAAGTTGACTGAAGAGTGTTCAACGTGATGAAAACAGTTCACAAAGAAACATGTGAATTGTGCCCATGGTTGGTTGTTGTGGCTATTTAAAACTTTTCCTTGTTTGGTAAACAAAGAACAACAGGTTTAGCTAACCAGGACGTATTTATGTCTAAATCTGTATATTTTTAGGTATTTCAACATCGAGTTCTTTCTTAAATTTTCGACCCCTTTTTTTCGAAGAATCTTATATTTAAGCAATGGAGTCTCAAATGCTGTTGATGATGATGGTCAGTGGTGAAAATCGATGAGGTTCTATAAATCTAAAAATTTAGTTATTAAAAAGGAACACTGCATGTACACGAGAAGTACTTATTTATCATAAGAAACCTTTATATTAAGGCGTTTATTAAACCATGGTTTATTAGACTCATTTAAATAAATAAAGTAAGTAATGTTCACAAGCAAATGACGCTTATAACACCTCTCATGCATCATGTACAAACAGATACTTAAGAATATTTTTACATTTAAGTTTAGTCTGAACAGAATAGAAATGAGGCCGTAGTTATCCTTGTGGATAACAATGGACAAAAAAATTTTCTGTGGAAACGTTTATTAAACACAAATATAAGTTCTTTATATTTTCTATTTATTGCCATATACTTTTAAAGGAGTTATCATCAATAATGCAAGTTGTATTAAGACTAGAGCTATATAGTCGATGAAGACTAGACTCGCGACTCAAGAGCGATTTAGTTCGCTAAGTCATTGAGTTGTAGGTGAGGTGCCACCACTTATGTACTATTTACTTTGGTAATGAGCTCACCACCACGATACGACAGCGAAGTCGCGGTTTGTGATCCCCCAAGATCATATTTCTTCTTATACCAATGTTCACGTGGTAAAATCATTACATTGCACTCCGTAATTAATTCTTAATCATTGAGTAGATTGGTGTAAGCTCTTCTAATTACAACCAATTCCCTCTTGCCACCGATAGTGCCCAGTCATCAATATCCCAGCATAATAACACAGTAGCACTGCGCCCGAGTCTAATACAAACTTTAATAGGAGTATTCTTTAAAGTGTACAGCAAGTTATACTAACCGTATTTCTTGTTGAAACTAGCCCCGTGGCTCAGGAAATCTGAAAAGAGAAATTAATAATATTAACGAACAGTAGTAGGTACTGTGAAACATTCTTGGCTGACTACAATGTACGATGCAAAGAGGACGCAAATATCATATCTATCGCGAGAATATATCAACGAGGAGAATCTCACAAATGTCAGGATAAAAGGGATTGAATAACTTGTCTTAAACTACTTTCCATTAGCCAGACGGTTAATTTTATATTCATATAAAAATAACAACTAGTTCACAATAAAGCGTTCCTTAGTTAATACCCGTTACTTTTATTTTTTATTGTTTTAACAAAAGACATGGGATTCAGGAACTACTACAATTAATCCCTGACGTCATATTAACACTTCTTTTCTTTTCTTTTGAATTCAAGGAGTTAGCATGACTACTTGTTTAAAAAAGGAAAATTTTCCGAAGTAGGCACCTCAGAATGATTTCAATGTAGCTAGTAAAGTTTTCTCTGTTACTGGGCAGAACCCGTACAACGAATGGCTAACACTTCGTGACCTTAAAGTAAATTAATTATTCATTGATATTTATTATTTTAGCAATACTAATATTTTATACCAAATATTTATATTTTATTATTAATTTCTGTCAATCTTTAAACGAAGTATGTTAAAAACTTCTCGAATGGTTGCACATAAAATTGTTTAGTGCATCATGTACACAAGGTGTTGGCTATATGAAACAGGAGACAATAACAACACAATGTAAAGAAAAAGATCGCACTCCCTACACTGCGATGTGTCTTTGTAGGATGTTAGCGAGCGTCAGGCACCCGGCATGAGTTGCCCACAACTACATTAGAGTTGTATGCTCCACGTGGCGAGTAGTTCCAAAGTCACGAGGCGTCACAACTACATGCAAATACTTCCCCTATTGTATTCGCTCTAGTATTGTCAACTTATAATGAAGTTACAGTACAAACTGTAGCCCCGCTCAAACACTTCAACCTTGAGCAAGTACAGCCTATGGCCACCGAAACAGGCGGTAGGTAAGTAACATTTTATTAAATCCGATAAGTAAATTAATTACAGCTTGGAACAGAGTTGTGGACTAACACTATACCAAAGATAAATAAACATGATTATTTTGTGAACTCAACCAACAGTAATTAATCATACGTATGGAATATTTTAGTTACAACGAATTAGTGGTCGTCGGTCCCGAAGCCCGTTTCGCGTTTTCCGATCCATTGTGATGAGACCACATCAATAGTACCACAATACTACAATCTACAGATACGAGCATGCGCTTAAACGATACAGAAAGGGATGTATCGTAGATCAAGAACAGATAGAAAAGCCTCAATCTAACCGCGAAATGAAAAGTTCAATGGTACCTTAGAAAATCGGACCACAAGACATGACAACAAACGATGCTAGAGTTCTCTCAAGACAGTTTTCTATGAGGATATAGTACTCGAAGAATCACCTCCTGATATCACTAGGTGGTAGTGGCAGTTTAGTTTTTCTAAGAGGTCTGACCGACAGACTGACACTATATCTCAAAATTTTGTCTGACGTTCAAAAGTGCCTGTAAGGGTCTAATTGGAATAAATGATTTTTGAATTTTTACTTGGCTTAGTGGCATACACAAGCCTGTTTTACTTATTGTGCTAATTTTAGTTTATAAGTATGAGATGCCAGATGAGTTCAACAATTTTCTACTTTAATGATGAACAAAAGCGTTTCTATTTAGAATGACACAGCTGTCTGTGTTTAGCCCAAATAAATAAATAAGGGGGACGTTATGCATTTCTTACCAGTAGGTACCTAGACACGAATGTAATAATTACTGGTAATACAAGAATGGCAGCACGAGTATAGCAGATTATGTATAAAATGTAATTCACTTTACACTAGGAAGTCTAATCTGTTTCGAGGAAAAACGAAGTCTCATATGGGACTTCACAAACTTTCCGCCACAGTTTATTTCAAAGTTTCGTGAATGAAAAGGGAACTAAATTAGCAGCAATTACTAATTATATAAGAAATACAATTTGACGAATTTTAAAAAACTAAACTAATTGCGCTCAAATCCTTAACCAAAAAAGTTCGAGTTTGACAAAATATTCTTCGGAATTTTAATGTTATTTTAACTAAACCAAAACTGCCTTAATTTTATTTTATTTTAAGTTCATTATAAACGAAAACGAAATAAGCTGGTCTAGAACATCTTTTTGTAGCAATTGCTTGGCGTGAAAAACACATAGAGCGCGAAGTAACCGCCAAACACGACATGAAATCAAAGCTCAAATAGAAATAACTTGGAAAATATATTTTATTCGTTCCTGGAAGTGGCTGGTAGTTAGTTACGTTGAGAATTTACAAAATAAATTGCTACAAAACAAGCATTCGGTAATTGGCTTCTATAATTATTGCTTTTATTTCACATACAATAAATTTAATACAAAAAACGTGAAGAACTGAATGGCTTTCACGTATATTTTTTTAAACATCATAATATTACAAAAATGTTAGACAAAATGCAAGTGTACCACCCCTACAAGTTCGAACTATTGACATAGTGTAAAATTATGTGTGGTTTGTACAAAATAATTCCATTTATAATAAAAGATGGTGGTGGTCGTGGTGTAACATATTCACTAATACTTATTTTGTTGAGTTTATTATTTTCAGGAATAAAATCTTTCTAAGTAAAGGCTTTTTTTATGTAGAGTTGAAAATTAGGATATTCGACAACTTAGTAGTTAGTCGGTTAGTAGGTAGTTGGACACCTGCCCTTGCCGCTAGTATACCTAGGATAAAATAACATAATAAACACACTTTTAATTTTTTATTCACATCCAAACCTATTTATTCGTCTTTAACTTATTCGTTCAATGTAGTTCAACACAGTTGTCTCTAGATCTGTATTAATCGCCTGCTAAAATGAAAGAAAACTTAGCAATCATGTATCGACCTCATGTTAGACCCCATTTACACTGGAGATCGCATGTAATAGGGGACAGTTACTACACATCTGCAACGTTATTTTATTAATTTTCTTTCACATAAATTAGAAATTACTAGATATTGTCCTAAAAATATATTATTTAAGCTTTACAAACTAAGAACCAACAAATACTTATTCATCCGTTAAAAAGGCAATAACGACGATTTGTTATTCTATTAAAAAGTCAAAAAAATAGTGATTTTAATTCTATTTTCTTGTTGTTCATGCCAAAAATGGCTATCTCTATATGAAATCTACCAACAATTACTATTTTAACCCTTTAAAAAACCTAAAACGAAAACACTGTGGATAAATAAAATTTTATTATTATTTTTTATTATAAAAACACGGGACCACAGGGTCCCGGACTTTTGGAAGGCGTACGAGGGGCCGAAGCCAACTCGCAGAGGCCCTTTGAACAACTTTAATATAAGTGAAATGGGACATCAGCCGGCAGTTATCCCTGTATGCACTATGAAAGTGCACCCAAAGACAATCCCCGGTTGATGGAGGACTATTGCGAAATGTGGTAAAAATTTATAAGGTTATGGATATGGGTTGCTATGGACTAGTGGATGAAAACTATGGAAATACTATGGCCCCTGCCCCTGACCAATATTGATATATACGGATAAACAGGCAGGGGGTGACTGGCAAACTCAATTAATGGGCCCCCGGAAACGGCCGCTAGCATGTAGCGACACGGGGGCAACAAACGTTGAGCTGCTTGGGGAAGGAGAGGCATCCCACGGCTATCAGAGCAATCCCGGAAGTACGGTCAAGACCCCTACCAGCATCTTACTGAGATACATCCTTCCCCCGAGTCTCCTTCAACTCCTACTCTTGCGAATCTCCACTCAAGCCAGCCAGTTAAGGCAAGAATGAGGTGAGAGGGCTTGTTCCTCATCAGTGTTAACTCCAGCTAGTCACGAGGACTAACCGGAGAGAGAAGAACAAGACACCTCCCGGGAGTCAGGTCCGTGGGGTCGCCACTGCCCAACAGCTCGCCACAAGCTGCCTTTTATTATTATTATTATTATATAACCCATGCGTTGTATTTCCCTGTGCAATAGACGAAGCTCAAACCTCCCCCGCCTCCCGCCCCCATCCACAAATCCTCTAAACCCCAAAAGGTCCGTAACGAACTCGTTCGTAACTCCTGATGTTGCGGGTGTCCATGAGGGTCGATTGGTTACTATCATAATATTTGATCCATCATCCATCTGCATGTTTCCCGACCTATCCCACATAAAAATTACAATCGTAAATCAGTTAAAGTCACCGTAAGCGCCTGCAACTATGCATACACGTTAAGCGCTATGGGGGTCACCGGTGACCTCCGTTAGGATTCGGAGGATTTGCCTGCAATAGTTTTCCGTCGGCAGTCAAAGGCTTAATAGTTGAATAAATATTTTTTCTATCTTCTTTCTTCATAAATTTCGTAGTTCGCATAAATGCAAAAAGTACTTTGATACTTTTTCATCAACAAAAATATTACTTATCAGTTTTGTTTTGAAAATTACTATGGAGATAACTATCATCCAATTTATGGAGATAAGGGTCATAAGTAAGTAAAAGGTGGTATCAGGTATGCCAACTGCTGTTCGTACCTGTTAGTTTCTTCTTGTTTACAGAAGTCGCCTGCCACGTCTTGTGGTAGGTTATGTAGGTACATATTTTTTTCGTAGGTATTCCTTGCATGTAAAACTACTACCAACCGATAAAGAACATAGTCATTTTTTGAGAAGAGAAAATTATCCAATGGCTTTTTCTGCCCTCAGTTGGGCAAGAGGGAGTGTCAGACTCTTGCTAACTAAAAAGCACCCCGTCCCTTCTCCTTCTGGGCCGGAGTCGCGGTACATTATTGAGCTTCCAACCGCAAACCCGGCTGAAAAAAGTAGTTCTGACATGCTAATTAATTTTGTATGACAATTAACACATAATGAAAATAATGATATCCATACATAAATAATTATTCACATGTGTTGAGTAAATTTTGCTAAAGAGCCATTATACCAAAATAGAAAAATTACAATGTCTCAAGCGCCATCTTATGGTAATCATCTGAATTACCAAGAATATAAAATGTAGAGGACTAGAGGCATATGAACTAGTATCATATTCGTTTTCTTCTTATAAATCAAACTATAGAACGATTAATAACATCGTGTTGTAAATATGTAGATAGAATGTGCAAAATATTTTCATTATGTTTTTCTGAAACTAATCAAAAATTCATAGTACAATCTGAGTACCTACAGGCTTGAGTACCGCGGTTATCAGCGCCATCTATGTCTTCGCGTCTAAACTAATGAAAGCGATTCCCCGCTACGTAAAGTGTGACCTGTGTAGTAAGCAATAGCTCCACCGATGGCGCTAGCGACAGTGTACCTAAATAAGGTAGAACAACTTCCACCGTACTCACCGTTCCGGTTCATAATCACTTAAAATTAATTAGATCACAGACTCTAGGCAATTGTTGTAGCACCAATTGACAAAACAAGTAAACTTTTTCAACTTTTTTAAAATAAAGGTAATTTTAGGATAAAAGTTGCGATCGGTCACATGTGCGCACTGTGACCAAAGTGTACTTTACCGCGATTGGTTCGCGGCCCGCGGTCGGTAGCGGCAGAGAGTCTCGCCATTGGCGGCTGCCGCCGGCGTCGGTAAAGCAGCCAACGTCACAGCACGTGACGGCCGCCAGTGAAGGCCACAAGCGCAAGTGGCGCGGTAATGTGCAGATGTCGCCACTGTGCCGCTTGTTTACAAGTTTCGACATAACATGCTAGTGTGACATAATTCCACGTAACAGCGAGCACGAGGAGGTTTCTGACAACAACAAAGTGAGTAACCGGTCGCCAGACACAGTGTAACTGACCTGCGACCAGACTCTGTCTTTGAAAGGTCTGGACCCATGACAAGTGAACAGTACAGTGCACCTCGACCTTGAACGCGCCTCTACAATGTGGGGCAATACAATGCTCATATCTAATACCTACATAATTATAACTTAAAACTTTTTAACACTTCAAAATAACTTAATTATTCCTTAAAATTTATTGAGGTAATATAAATATGAGGTACAGTGTAACGTTCAACCAAATAAACATTGGTACCAAGAAAAGTCAGCTGGAAAAAACACTCAACCGAACTCTCTATACAGAGTTGAGTTTTTCCGACTTAATATAACGTTACCTAGATGAAAATTAACCTCTGTGTTATTCCAGATCGTCATCTATCTCTGTGCCAATTTTTATTTAAATCCATTCAGTGTTTTTAACGTGAAAGTGTTAAGAATTTTCATCCACACGTAACAAATTTTGCATTTGTAATATTAATAGAACAGATTAGTAGAACTTCGATATTATAACACGTATTTTCGTAACAAGACGAGTAACTTCACAATGTGTCTCATATTCCGAAATTAGGGACACACTCACGACCAAAGTTTGGTTCCAGCTGTCAACTAAAATAGAAAGGTTAGGTTGTGGAAAATAGATATTAATTTAACATTTAATCCAATGGAATAGAGTTAAAAATATGAATAGATAATTAAATAGAATAGAACGAAATGTTGTGCTCTTGACTTGTGACTTGATAAAGAAGAAGGAAGCTATGCATATTAGGCAAATCCTATGCGTAATTTAAGAGAAAATTATTCTGTATTTTCGCCGCCTATTTGTAGGCTTGTAGCATGTTTGACATGAAAGAGGAGGGTAGCAATGGTCGTTGGCAACACGGCTATGTCACGGCAATGTCGCGGCGGTGTCGCGTGGCTGATAGCACATTGTGTCAACAGACACTTGGTCATAAAATCATAACTCGCCCCGCACATTATAACATGATGCTTCCCGTCCAATCTACCGCAGCGCATACGCGACGCCCTCGACACGCGCCGCCCAGACAACAGACATACATAGGTACACTAAGAAGATTATGTACAAATTGTACCTAACTGCCAGTAACATAAGTGTCATATCGAGCGAAACTTGAACTATACCACTTATAAACGAAACCGCCAAGTCTAATATGAAGTTTTATTTATCGTTTCAATACCGAACATATGGACTTTAGATTTATTTTCTGACTATTTTATCATTTTTATCGTAGTAGTTTTTATGCATCAGCGGTTATAGATATGCTAACATATGTTTGTAGCTACAGGACGTTAATAGCCATTCTGTGTAACTTTGGCTCTGACATGGCGAGATGTGAAGTGTAAGCCTGTCGAGAGGGTTCGCAAGCACCGACACTGCTGAGCAGCTCACATTGCGTAAATAAAATGAACGCTTACAGTAAGTTGACATTAGCGATCAATCATTGAAACGCTGCCAAACATGGCTCAGTCGCCGAGTGTGGGCTGTCGCAGTCCGCTCCACGCTACAAACACACAAACAGATCCATTAGCTGATCCACAGTAATGTAGTGATGAGATGATGCTGTAATTCAAGTACTCAACAATTATTCCTGTAAAATATAAATTACTCGTAAATTCCTCAGCTGTCCTGACGAACTTGCTCTGTACAATATTGTGTTAAAATCTTATTATGTTTAAATCTAAAGCTAAAGGAAAACGGCTATGTTATAATCGAGAAAATATTGTTATGATTTTTCTCATGTTTTTCGTTTTTTCTACTATTGAAACAAAAGCTAAAATGTAACAAGTTTCACAATTTTAAATATCCTATTAGTCAAAATTATAATAATAAAAAGGAACAATAGTCTATGGCCCGTATTTTCACAGATAAGGGTCAAACATATTTTAATCCCATATTACAGTAACCCACGACCGTGTAAAAAAATTACCCATTCTAAAGTAGCTGATCGGATTAAATAAATTTACTACCTACATACTAGCTTCTCGTTAAAATCCTGTGTGAAAAGGTCACGTGGTCTGCAATTAGTGCATAGGGCTTCTACCCAGAGAAAATGCGCCTTTGATTGCTTTGCAAATTAAGATTGCTACGCATTGTGTAATTAAATATGTAGATATTACTTTTTATGTACATGTTAGGGAGAAAATCTCTTTGAAAGGATAAAAATAACTTTCATACAATCTACGTCTTTCATCTCTACTCTATTTTAGGAACTTTGGTATTTCTTTTACCATACCCATAAATTACCCATAAATTATACTAATTTAAAAAGCTTGAGGGATATCGCTATAAAAATGTTTCAGTCAGAAAATATCGCTTAAAATCATCCAATGACTTCTCCTGGGTAAAGTACCACGGAGTGTCAGACTTCTGACTAAACACGGCCCCGTTCCATCTTTTTCTGGTTGATATGTGCCTCTGACGTTTCACCTTGCCGGCAATCACAGTAACTTGTTTCATTTTTAACATTAACCGAGTTTGTATAAACATGTCTGATACGTCCACTAGGTACTTCGATGTTTTGTAATTTGTAGATAGTATGTTCGTTATCTTGTTGTTATTGCGTCGAACAGCATGTGAACACAACAACAGTTATTTGCCGACGATGCCGGCGGCAGAGGCGCGTCGTGCGGCACCCCTCGACGACACACTATCTCTTGTCACAAATCTGACGACTCATAATTTGATAAGCTGTCCTGAAACACTCACCGGCGCTACGCCGTCATCGTGCACTATTAAAAAACTTCTTCTAGTATCATACATCAGGATAAGCTCTAGTCATTATAGAAAAAACCTACGTTTGTATTGTAATATTCTGAAGTCAGTAAGTAACACTCCTTTCTGTGTTTAAAGATTCCTTCACATATACCAAAGTAATTTAATATTCTCAAACGTTACAAGAATGCTAACCCCGACACGGGAACAGAATCTAAGATTACTTGATCGACAGCTGCACTTAAGGCATACTTAACGAAGCATTTCGGGAAGGTGATAATTACAAGTTTCTTGTTATGTTCCTTCTCGTCTAACCTAGTCGATATAAACCTTAGCTTGATAATAAATTGATGGATTGTACTCATACAATAAGTGCCACATAAACTATTTCTCTGTTTCAAAGAAAACAAGACAGATATTCAGAAAGTTAAAATCGACAGCGTTAGTTCATATTCGATAGAAACAACCCTTTTGTTTTTAGGTGAGGAAATGATCAAATCACATCTCAAAGTGTGAGGCGAGAGAGTCCGGCTCTGTCTAAAAACCACCCGCTAGCCCCGTAGCCCTATAGCTGAATATCGGTCCAATTGAGCCAATATCATCGTATAAGTCTATCTGTGGTGTCCAAATGACATATTAAGGCGCCCTATAGACCACATTACCAACACTTCTCCTGCATTTAAAACGAGAGAATAACTGTTTAAACAAGAACAAGGCCACTAGTAATAATGACAAACGCACTCAAGTCTCGAGCAGACTACCGGCTCTAGCTAGTGTGGTCCGATGTATGGAAAGGATTTTCGAGATTCTGAGTTCTTGGTATAGAGATTTTAAACTTGAAGTTAGTATTATTAATCCTTCTTTAAGGTTTTTTTTTCCTAATAGCCACCAAAGCGGTTACAAGAACAATAAATACTGATTTGATGATACGATTTGTTATGTTTCTTACAGTCTATTACCTACCAAATGTTTGTGTTCGTGTAAATTATCGTAATTATTAAAAGATGAAACCGGTTGTCTCACAATTAAGTTATTAATAAAATTGATTTCGCAAGGACGTATATTATTTTATTAAAAAAAATCTGCATGCCATGGCGAGCACTATACATGTCTCTAGTGCAACTTTATCATGTTTCTGTATGTGTGTGCGTGTGTGTATACACACATGTTTTTGCTAATAAACCTTGATTTGATTTGATTGGTGTCGCGTGTGGCAGGCCGGCCTACCTTAAAGACTATATCAAGTTTTAACTTTGTTAAAATTCTTTAGATATTTTTAATAAAATATGAATGGATGTTTATCAAAATTTAGTATTACTCAAAAATCTGTTAATACCGGTTTAGCTCGAAGTAATACAATATCAATATCATAGAACAGATCCTTGGTTTGAGTAGGGTTACCAGAGCCCTAACCCTAATCTAACTATTCTAACATACTCAAATCCAAACGCAACTCCTATGGGGTAAAAGCAATCCATGGGTAGCAACTTTTATTTCATATAAAAAAATAAATCAAAACAAATGCATAAAAACAATTAATTCACATATTCACAAAGTACTTAAACTATTAAGCACTCTTGTATATCGCAAGTATTGCAATTTGTATTTTTTTAAATGGAAAATTGCTCGTTGGAAATTATTATATTTTTCGCGGAATTTTTTAAGTTCAACGACTTTTGTAGAGGCAGCCTTATTGTACTGACAAGTGCTACAAGGCTATAGAGAGAGAGAGCTTTATACTTTCTATAGCCTTTAATACTTTTAAAGCTGCTTATTTGCTACATATGAACAAACAATTATTATATTAAAGACGACTACGTGATTTTAGGAACTGTTTGATATCTATTTATTTTTTTCACAAAAGGTACGTAGGTAAGGTAGTAAGTAGTACGTGATAGGTCGGCAAACGAGCAGACCGATTACCTGATGGTAAGCAATCAGCGCCGCCCATGGACACCCGCAACAACAGAGGAGTTACGAGTGCGTTGCCGACCTTTTGGGGACTAGGGATTGGCGGGGGGGCGGAGGGGAAGAATTGGACCTCCAGTAACCTCACTCACACGGCGAAACACAACCCTGTGGTTGTTTCACGCTGGTTTTCTGTGAGGCCGTGGTATTACTCCTATTCTTTTTACTTATATTAGAAATAAAAATTGAATTGATCACTATTCTTAAAGGTTCTAATAAAACTAGACATG